CAAACTTCTCTATTCTCACCCCACGCTGTAAATAAAACATGCGATTGGAATCTCTTCCATTTGTTTTGATTTTCTGTTTAGCCAATAATTCGATGTTATTTATTCACCAACATAGCAACCCATAAAAAGGCCCATGTTAATTTATTTGTGTTTTAAATTAATTCATTGGGTTTATTTTTGAGCCTATTTTAATTAAAGGGGTTCTGTACATATACAGGAAATGATTTTTCTAATTGTATGAGTAGATTTTCCCTGCTATGCACACGAGCGGAGGAAACCCGTTTTCAAAGAAGCATGTTTGCCTATTAATATTATTGGATAACCATAGTCATATCTTTCTTGTTTCTTCCATTGATGTATAACTACATCGATGGTACCTTCTGATTGTGTCTCTGATCAGCTGTCAATTTCTTATTTCTACACAATGTAATATGCGGTATTCTATCTTTTATCATAAAAATTTGTGTTTGTTACACCAAAATGTGGTTTCTTATTGGAGAATTTGAAATGGTGACAAGAATATGATGAATATACGAATACCGAAATTAGTACGTGTACAATATTCCGTGGACCTCTCCTCTCAAACGTTCAATATCTTATCAGATAACGCTGAGCTAACAGGATAATTTGACTCGTCCAGTAAATTAATCCTCGAGGTAATTGACTCACAGACGACCTTGACGACCTAATAGCCAGTCGATGTAAGGGACATTCCGACAAAATAGACTAAAAGTTCGCATTATTGAGCGATGTTTCGGCACAAAATCGGCCTTGTGACCGAAGGACGTGATCGTATCTTACACCAATTACACACTATTTCTTAACACTTTGTGCTCCAATTAACAGGTGCTTCCTGAACAGTTTATCAGGACATAAAGTATCATTATGTAAATTAGTCAACACCTCGGGCAAATATGTCTTTGTCACTGACTAAATTAGGTAGGCATTTTAATCTGCTGAGACATGTACATGAGAGAAACCAATGATTATGAGAACCTGCTTTTTTAATACATATAGGCCCGCAGAGATGTGGATCTAAGGTTCTCTTAAAAGATATGTATTTAGGTACAATTTGTTGAAATTTGGTTGCATATTTCAAGCTTAAAAGCAATAAATTTGGTTCCTTTCCGTTTTGCTGCTGCTAAAAGTATAAGTTTCTTATTTTTGTCTATTGTGGGTTGCACAGAGATGTTCTTTCGTGATGTTTAAAATGGTGATGGAGCTCATTGAGGCGTTCTAGAACTTTGACCTCTACAGCCTTAGATGTTTCTGGGAGTCTATTCATCGGCTGCTTCCTGAATTCGCGAATTTACGTGAGTGAAGCCCAAATTCCCGATTCTTCTAGATTCCTCCAAGGTAAAATTTGGTTTAGAAAGGCCAGCTGTGAAATGTATAAGCTGTATACCAACAGTTTCAACTTAAACACGAGAAAATCTTATTACCATAGATAAAATGATAAAACCTATATACTCCTTAAGTAGATTTCTCATCCTAATGGAACAGCTGGAGCCAATTTTATTGTAAGTCCTGCCTGGTGCACTGTAGGAATATTAGAGATCGACGACTGTAGGGGTCGTATATTGTTTACAAATTGTTTTTTGTTATTTCATCCATTTAAAACCTCATTTAGAAAAAAAATAAACAAAATAAACAACTCGTCCCCTTGTTATACAAACAAACAGCAAAGTACAAAATCATAAAATTAACCCTGAAATAATAGTAACAAAATTCCCTCAACACTATAGCTACCAGTGTCACTGGACATGAACTAGACACGATGAACGAGGTCAAATTACAATGGGATGAGAAGTCTACTTTTGTTGGTTAGTCTGTCTTTACTGAGCAAAGAATTTCACAATTGCTCTGGGTCGCATGAATTAACTAATAATATAAAGTTACTAAAGTAACTGGTAACCTATAACTAAGGTAACTAAGGTAACTTAAGGTAACTAATAATTTATGGCCTTTTGTCGGTCAAAACGATCAGTTTGGAGTACAACTACACCTGTTTGTATTGTTGTTGGAACAGGGCCGGATTTCCCAATAGGCCCGGTAGGCCCGGGCCTATGGGCTCGAGCTCCCAAAGGGCGCACGGCCGAGAGGAAAATCTTTTTGAATATCTAAAAATAAAAGTAAATAATTGATAAAAAAACTCTGGCTAATAAATCATTCTGATTCTTAAGTTTATAGGAAGAAATAATTGTTGGAGAATTTAAACTAATTTTCAGAATTATGCATCAATTTTATTACAACATTGGTAACGAACATTGGTTATACGAATAGGATGTAGGGTTGACGAGCGCCCGAGCGGTACCACAGAAAACATACTTCTGTGACGGTACGCATCGTTGCTACCAGGGCCGGGGATAGTAGCATTGACTATATAACACTACTAGTAGTGTTATATAGTCAATGATAGTAGCTAGTTGCTACTGCACTGCCACTATGCTGGCTCGGCGCTACTGATCGGAGTGAGGGGCGCATGCATGCTAGACACTGTTACCTCCCTCACCTCACAAAAAATTAACTAATCTTTTTATTAGTTAACATCAATCTGCAATATAAAGTTAAAATATATAATACGATGTGTTGAATATTAAAAAATAAACCATGAATGTATCTTTTAAATCAACGAAAAAATATTAATCTCAATTGGAATAGGTTTTAGAAAAAATCAATACCCTCCAAAGCACCATTAATGCTGTCATCTTATCCTCAGACCTAAGGATCGGTATGGTTGGCCGGAATATTGCACTGTTTTGCTTTGGAAATTTAACCTAGATGCAGTACCACCATAGATTAAATATAACTCAAGTAGACTTCTATCACATTGTTAATTCAAAAGTATTTTCATGTATAGTTCATGTTGGTGACACTGTACGTTAGTTTTGTTTGACGTAATTTTGTTTCTATTATTTTAGGGTTAGTTCTATGTATGTTTTAATTTCTTGTAATATAACCAGGAGACGATCTATTGTTTATGATTAGATCGTTTTATTTTGGATAAACTAGGTTTAAATAACAAGAATTGTTTTCAGCTAATCCATAATGATGACAAATCTACTAAAAGAGTATGTTTAATCTATGGTATTACGTACTGCATGGAGTTCATGTTTTTGGACCTGAAATTGGAATCAATGGCCATGTTTTTTGCAGTAATGCTCGGTCGGTTGAGTTTTTTGTTTTAGCCCCACAGGCCACAAACGTGAGCATTTACTTAAAGCATAAAACTGCTAAAGGTGTATAAGACGGCATTTTGTTAAGGCTAAACAAGTCAATTCTTCAAAAAACTTGCAATGATAAAATTCCGACGAGGAGTGGTATTCTTAGGCCTATGGGCATGATATAGTTTTTAATAAAGGTTTGAAGGAAAGTAGGCCTAACTGTGACCAGACTAGGGGGCGGAAAATTATTTGGGCCTAGGGGCGCCAAAATACTAGATCTGGCCCTGTGTTGGAAAACACCACACCATCAGGTTAGAATGACTTCCTGATTATCCCTCATGGGGAAATTCATAAGAAGATAATACAATAGGTACACGAAAACACATGACACAATAAACGCGCACATAATGAAACATTGTTTTACTGGTCGACCAGAGACTGACGTTTTAACACGAGACGCGAAACCGGTGGAAGGTAAGTCACGGAAAGTAAGTCACGATTAAATTGTTAAAAGTTCGTTTTGAAAGAAAGATATTGGTCTGGCACTGAGCAAAGGCTCCCTGCTCTTTGTGAACATTGCAAAAATATTTCAATAAATATCGTCGTACATAAAGTCATAGTCGGCCATTTATTAGAATTTTACGAGATTTCCTCCATTATACATTGCTGATTTTATAGTAACGGTGGGTCGCCGTTAAGGTGCCACCCCGAAAACCCCCACCAAACAAAATTTGAGTCGGCAGGTTGACGAGGGACTTAACCGTCTAGTTGCTGCCCCGACAACGTGCCACCACGTCAACCTGACCTGACATCGCGACAACCACACAAATCCATCCGAGGTGGCAGGTTGTCATTCTGCAGTTAATCTGCACATTCCCAACTAGGCGCCACCCCGACAACGAGCCACAACGAAAACCTGCCTCCGTCACTCCACCAGTTTTTTTTTGTTTTTCATCAGAGGTGGGTTGTTGCATATGGTTTATGGTAAATGGGTTTTGTGTCTACTCCAAAGTAGGCAACCGTCTCCCCACCACCACACACAGCAGCGTAAACTGCTAATAAATTACTGCAGGCATTCACGACAATATTTATTGAAATTTTTTTTGCATCGTCCTTAAAGAAAAATTATCTTTGTGCTCAATAATTACAGACCAATCTTTCTTTCATAGGAAATCCCCCTCACAAATATGTATAAATCCACGATTAATGATTGTGTTTAACTTCTTCAAACTTGATATAGACTTCAGAAATAATAATGAGAGAGCTATCTAGACCAAGTGCTACGCGGACTTTAAATTTTGCACGCTTCTTGGTGTTGGCCTTTCACGCCCTCCTCATGTTTTTTTATTGGAATAAGGTCAAACGTGGCTTACTGTACTTTGGTAGGTTAAATCTGAACTGTTTAGAAACGTGCTATAAACTTCTCTCGACGATTCTCTCAAACTTAACTTTGAAAGCTGGGGAACCTGTATGTTTACACAGCAATGACTATTATAGAATTTTACTTGTCAACACCAGAACAGGATGTAGATTATTTCCAACTAATGTATGGCAGTGTGCTACCACTGGCAAGTCCACCACAAAATTAGGTGTACCAATTTTGTTTTTAAGATTGCCTCGATTTTGTCGTAATTGTGCTAAAAATGTGTGGAATGTCTTCGCTTTTACATTAGAATACATATTTCTATTAATACTAATCATTCATTTTCTTATATACTTATTAGAAAATGAGGGAAATTTTTTGTGGGAAAAAATTAAGTTACCCTATTTTTTGTGGCAAACCTGTTGCATTAGTCATGTTTTCTTTCTGTCACGAGTGTCGTCTGTCGTCTGCTGTACTCTACAGACTATTATTCTAACTGACGCAAAATCTAAAAACATGCGTATTTAAAGACACTGTTTTTGTTTGAAATCAAATCTCCTCGAGTCTGATTCAATTCAAGGCCTTTGCCTTCACTACTCTTTCTAGGTTATCTGTATTACCAAATTGTAAATAATTGTTCTAATTATTTGTCAGTCAGTACCACGATTACTAGCAATTCTCTAATAGGTTAGATGGTTTAGTCCATGTTTAGCTGCTACTTATAAAAATGTATTTTCCAAATTCCAAGTTGTAATTTTTTTTGCTTATGTAAGAATGAAGTTGTTTATATTCACAAGTAAGTAAACATGTCATTTCTTTGTTTAGTTTTAATTTATCTTAGATAAACACTAAGATTTTGATGATACCTAAACAGCAATACTTACTTTTTAATGCTCTTGTAACATATCATAAATTTGTCATAAGATTAGGCTATCCTCGATTGTCTGAGTAGCTCTGCTATTCAGTTAAAGTTTGTAAGTTGCTTGTCTGATGTCTAAGGACCGATTAGGGGCGAGGTAACAACCCCAGGTTATGCGTGACTTTAACTGTCACTGAAGGAAGCCATCCTAGAACCATGCTTAGTATTTTTAGTTTTGAGTTAAATACCAGCATCGAACTTAACTATTAGATCCAATTGATGGCAGCGACCTAGCCTATAGATTGGTAGTGAAATCTTGTCTTGATTGTCAGTCAGGTCCGTATTTCCCCAACCGCGGACACGGTGTTTGGCGGGGCATCAAATGAATTTTTACTAGTGTACATGTTGCTCGAATTCGAGCAATTGCAACGTATTACAGGAGTTATTTTAAAACGAATAACAGTCATATTTACAATTAGTTTAAAAGAGTCAACTCAAAGATTACCGGTGTGTAACTCAGACCATGTTTATCTTCGTTATTGATAAACCTAAAGCATTCCGGCCGGTTTTCTCCTTCTCAAAATGCCTCGCTGTACAGGCAACACAGGTCATTGATAGAGGGCCAATTGAGAACGAAAAGTCGTTTTGGGATAGTGTTAGGGCGCATTTGTAACCCAATAGTTGAGATTGTCCAGGGTCAGGTGCTGACTGTGATGAGTTAAGCCTATTACGCACCACTGTTCAGTAGCTGCGGTCGCTATCACGATTACGCCTCCTGTCTATGTTTCGTTGTCGTCGCATCGAAGGCATTTAAAAGAAAAAACAACAAATAAACAAATTATAGCTACACAAAACAACAATACGGTAAATGCACAACTTTAAGTTACAATCGTGCTAACACGATCCGTCATAGCGACACAAAACAACGATAAATACACAAATTTAAGATACAACCATACTTAACACGATCCGTCTTGGGGGTTATGTTTACACAAAATCAAATAGTAAATAAATAAATAACAGCAATTAAATTATACAGCTGTTCAAAATGTAAACAATTATGTTCTTCATAAGGATTACATGGGAACTTTTAAAGCCACTGGGACAGAGCCCAAGGGACTTTTTCAAAAATGTAAGGCCAGTTTGCAAATCTACGCGACACGCTCTTTCCAATGAGACATCAATGGATAAAATCGGTTAAGAAATGGCGGAGGAGTTCAACCGGCAAAGTTTCATGTACCCTAGCGTATTAATTATATAGATTCCTGAAAAATTAACTCCAACAATAATATGTCAGAGTGTTTGATTTTTAAACTGAGCCTTTATTCTTGTATAATCGCCAAAAACGTTCGCGAAAATTCCACGACTGTAAATCACAACAGGTATGCTGCAATAGCTGCAGACCATGATAGAGATGTTCACAATTCCTCCGCGATCACAGAAAATTTCCACCATTTCACTGCTACCGCAGGAGACTACGATTTTATTGTGACTGAGTACGAATTCGTTCATATTAAATTAGACTATATATAAAAGTTTTGTGCCGATGATTTTGCCGTGGTTGCAGGAGTTGTTTCACAAAACGTAACAACAATTCATATTTTTTAAATAAATATTTTTGAAGAAAACCCTATTTTGATACAATTTGGTTTTGGCCAGAAGTCTGAAGTGAAGGTCAACAATTTCACCTGACTTGAAGTAAACAAGTTTGAACAATAGAAGCCTAATATTAGCCTACTATTGAAATATAATTATGGAATTATTTATTACCGTAGCTAGTCCCTTTAGGTCTATTTTCCAATTGAATCTTTGAATTCAAATGGTCGAGTTTAGCGAGATGAATCAATCACTTGTACATTTCTAAATCCTCTATGCTCAAAACACCAAAGAATTAGGCTAGTGGGGCCTGTTATGTGAGCTGCCGGGGCCTCGTTGATTCTAAAAACGGCCCTGTTGTCAGTTGTATATAGTCTGCAACTCACGACTTTACTTGTCTATAGCAGAACTATTGAAATAAAAGGGCCACCTAAGATATGAACAATGGACGTCTCATATGGATCATCTGTTCATTTCACCCTTGATCAGGCAGATTCAGGTGTTTTACTGCTTCCTGTTTATCCTCACTGTGTGTCCACCAGAAACGTTGATTATTTCATAAGTTGTGAGGGGTAAAAAATTGCAAAAATAAGTAGGCTAATAGTTTAGTAAAATAGTAGTTTAAAATATCTAGCCAGATACATTTAACTGCTTCCTTGGAATTGGTTATAGTCTGTGTGATTGAACCTGTCTCCTGTACCTTCCTCTATCTGGAACTGGCTTGGGTCTCTAGGCCAGCCCCAGGTAGAGAAATGATTACAAGATGTGTTCCATCCTACAGACTACAGGTTAGTTATCATTCAACGATACCTAAACCTGACCTGAAGTCAGCACAGAGTTTACGCTATGAAGTATTTCACAGAGAAATAGGTACGGAGGAAACTTGCTTATGGGACTACCGTGCGCTTTCAGCTCTGATATGTGGTGTGGGAAATATTATAGTTCGGCCGCTTAGAAAGCGACCTCCCCTACCATTGGTTAGCATTAACTTAGCGCGCAAGTCGCTTTCTAAGGGGCCAAAACTATAGGACACGCAAGGAAGAGCCGGAGCGGCAAGCACTGTGCAGAAATGCACTATCCTACAGGGCACAGGTTATTTATCCTTCCTCTATGGTGAGTGTTGTATAACATTAGGGTTAGAGGGGCGATGTCCTAGACACTAGTCGCTTGTGCTAGACACCACTTAATTGTACAATCGAATGTCTCCTATGTACCTTATTTCTTTATGAGTATTCCAATTGTTCAGTGGCATGCCTACCTTTATACAATCAGTAAACAAAAACATGCAAAAAAAAAACTTCTCACTATATAATGCGTCGAAACGTCGCCTCTGACCATTGAAAACACTGGCCAATCAATGTACAACCATGTTAAATTTTGGTTGTGTGCTGCGCTTACGAATAGTGGACTTTATCAGGCATGATTTAGTTACTCTACCATATTAAACAAGCTTTTAATACTGGCAATAATTTATTCTATAAGTTAGCTCTCATATTTGTTCATATAAATTTATCTCAAACACAATTGCTATTTATTACAGATTATTATTGATTTGAGAAAATGAACACGGACGACAGAGAGCAGTTGATTCCAAGGAGAAGATCGACCCGTACTGAGGGAATAAACGATGTGGTAAGCCAAACTTTTGCTTTGTTTTCGCTCCATTAAAATAGTTGGATTTTTACTGAAATTGGGTTCACCAAGATGAGCCGAGCTTTCGCTATCGTTATAGAAGAATGTGTTGACAAAGATATAGCAATCCAAAAACTCACACTCTTGCCACGATCACGGAAGACAATGATGATGTCTACAAAAACGTGGAAGATGTTCTAGATTTGGCTATGATCACAGAAGATTATGACATTTCCACACTTCTTGATCATACATCATATCAATTAGTTTTGTTTTTACTTTACAATTTTTTTCTTAGCTCTTGAAACTGCCCTAACGTTATGTTTCAATAATCAAATAATAAATTTAAATGTTTTCATTTAAACAAACTTATTTTAGCTGTGACAAGTGTCAAGTGTTTTATTGTGACAATTGTCAGCTGTTGTGTTTACCACTTCAATGGATTTTTTTAATGAATTATTTCATAGCTTAAGAGGGTTCCACCTGCCGGCTGGTTACCACGTAAACATGGTCCTACAAAAAAGAACCTCGTGGCATTATTAAAGTGTTTATCGAGTCGAAATAAACTGTAAAATATTCACAAAGATCCAAACTATGCCCTGGATAAACTAAAACTTTGTCATTTTTTTTACTATTTAAAAAAATCATATCATTTTGAAAATTTGTAATATAGTCTTTTTCGCAAGTGATTCAGCTTAATGGTTAAACATTAATTTATCCCCATCTATTGCAAGCTCTGGTATGTTAAGAGTACAAAAGCACACAATCATTGGAAACAAATTAGTTTTAGATTGTTAAAAGCTTGTACCGTAGAGGCATGTTTAGAATAATTAGCATGTTTAGCCATTATCTTCAATTTACCCCTCCTTATTTGATTTGTACTCCTTTTAAAGGCACTCAACACAGAAATATACAATAAATATACATTTTAGAGAAAAACAATGCTTTCTCTATAAATTTATTGTTTTGTCAACAACCCCACGACATACAATAGGCACTAAACTACTTTTTATATTTTTTTTATTTTCATGCAAGTACAATATTTAAGCAGTACCAACATTGTACAATTTATTTAGCAAATGTATTTAATGTAAATTTTTAACTTACTCACCTAATATGTAAAAACTGATTTGTAAACTAGATTATCTATTCAATAAGCTATAATGACTAAAAGTCAATAGTGTACCAAAATATAACAAAGGAATCAACAATGAATCATTGGAAATAATATTTGGATTTCTTGGTATTAGCTTTATTAGAGTACATCCTATCAATTATGTTTTAGAACGTTTGAAATAAGCTGGAAAGTTTATTTATTATTTACATTTGAAAATGTTTACTTCATTAAGTAATCAGTCAATTGCTTGATGGGTTTGAGTAGTTCTTAAGATTTCGTAAGAATGCATGATGTTAGTTGTGGCTGTCATTTGTGTCTTCATGATGATTGCAAGATTATTACGGTAAATACTTTCATTTTCGAGTTAATTGTTTTCAGTTGATTAGTAAAGTTTTATTTTAAATATTCAGCGTAGTTGGCATTCATATTTAATATGTTTTAATCATTGTATCTCAATATTTATAAACTGTAGAATTCCAATGATATATTTTTGAATGCTTTAATTTTGAGAGAAAGTATTTTTTCAAAGCAATTTATTAGTGTCATTCTCTTTTGAAAAGAGTTTATTTATTCCAGATATTTGTACCAATAAATTTTAATAGTAATTATTGCAAAAAAGTCCCTTCAACCAAAAAAACTTTTTTTATAAAAATACAAAGGATCTGTCTGCTGTCTAAAATCTTGATACAAAAACAGCAATGACATAGTAGGACTAAGTTACCCAAATGTACAAAATAAAATTTAACTGGCATTTCTCTGGTTCCTTTATGCTATACAATACTATGAAAATATTCATACTTTATCACAATAATATTTTTTTTCTTTCTACGCCAGTGGCATTTTACAGGAGAGGTCCCCGAATTGAACCCATCCCTCCCGCACCGAAGTCGGAGATGCTAACCACTATGCTAGCAACATAAACCTAAAAAAAATTGAATAATTAATTCATAACAGGATATTTAAACAAAGCTAAAATAAAATTCTCAATAGGAAGAATAAGTATGACAATAGGAAGTAAGTAAGACCAAGTAACATGCATAAATTATAGGCCTAATGTCTTAACTAGTCAAAAAACTAGTGATTTTCCACACTGTGAAAATTTATAGTCAGGATTTTTTCAAGTGTAAAATGGTTCTAATTGAAATTTACTTGTCATTTTTGCAAAACATTTTGACCTCAATTTCAAGTGAACACTTTAAAATAAGTGGACAAGCCAAAATTATATTGATATCATTTTTGAAAACAATGAGCATGTTATCCTTGATAAACCTGGTGATATTAGTTATTATTTGTTTTATTATCATATAGGGCCTATTTACTTTATCTTTTTTGCAAATCTAAATCTAAAAATCTAAATTTTGTGGTCAAATAACTGACAAATACAATATCAATATTTATTTTGTCTTCTATCTGAGACAAAAACTTTTTTCTGGTTATTACACCTATTAACATTTTGTAGAATTTTTTTCCTAACTTTTAAAATTGAATTAGGCTAACTAATTTCTAAAGTCTAAACATCACTGAAAATATTGTTAACTGGCAGGATTCTTTGTGAAATATTTGTATACCCTAGGAAAGAAACCTAAATACAAGTCTCAGAATCTAGTCATTTAGAAAAATAAAGTTAAATATTAGCAGACATTAAAATAATTTCTAAGCTAATAATTTAGCGGGGAGCGAGATGTCCGGGGGTAGAGCACAGGGCTTCAGAGCCCGAGGTCGTGGGTTCTTATCCCACCAATCACCAATATAATTTATCTATGTTATAATGCCACGACCCTCTAAGCCTGATGTACAGTAATGTGTGAAATACAGTAGTTACGGGCTGAAACCTATCATCCTAGGATGTGAAAGGGGGATAAAAAGCTATAATTCACTAAAGCTGGAACTAGTTAGTATGATATTTCAGTGTATCTAACAATTTTGTCAATTACAGAAAATGTATTCATATTTTTAAAATTTTTTTACACAGGTACAGTTAACCTTACATTTCTCGTCCGTCTTTGTGTGAATCGCCCAGCAAAGCAAGAGGTGTGCTGGTACAGTACTTTTTTCCTTTTTTCTCTTTACAGTACAGGAGTACAGGAGGTACAGTACTGGAGTGAACTGTACTGATAAAATGTAGTGGCAGGTACCGGTACCAGAATCCAAACCGACATCATCGCTGTTTTGGATCTGTCACGACACTAACTCACCTAACTAGATGAACTGCCTATTTCAGTGTTGAACACATCTCATTTTTGTTTCAGGATCCAGTAAGTTACCTCAAACAAAATGAAGGTGCCGTTCCTATCGGTTCACTTAACGTCCTCAGTTCTCAGTTTGAGGTAAGTACCAATGTTTTTGGTTGAAAATGTCTGCCGGGTTCAGCTAGTATATACATACTGTAAAGAAAAATAAAAAGAATATTTCCTATATTCTTTTTGTAACGAAAAATAAAAACAATAAAAGATAATAGCTCTTTACTTGTTACTTCATTTCATCAACCAAAATCACCTCACACCTTTATGTAATGCAATTTGGCTATTCCATACAGGTGTGAGTATAACAAAAAGTTGCCCCCTGGTGGGGTTTTAATGAATTTCATTTACACTTTTAATTGAACTACTGAGGACATTACAATCACAGAGCTGCGCAGTGGAAATAAAGATGTTAAGTGTGGGCCCTGTAATTAAATATCCCAGAAGTCCGATTTATGGACCGTGAGAGATCTGATATCTTGTCCTCCTTCACACCTTCTTCAGCTTAATTCTAACACTTCTTAAAACTAATAGATGTGTCTATTTGAACACTCCATGAATTGAAATGTGCTGTTCTGATGAAAGATTGTGATATGAATTGATACTCTGTAAAACTGTAAAAATGGCAAATAATAATATTGAAATATTGATTGAAAATATTTGTGAAACTGTTTGTTCAGGAAATATTTATCAAAAGTATGACTTCAAGATGATATATATATACTGGATTCGGTTAAGCCGATTACTCATGAATTCAACAACTTGATATTAAATATTATGAACTGAACTTATAAAAATTGCACTGTCAAAATATATTTACAAAATGTGATCGTCAACACTCATTGTGTATACTTTGTATACTTCTTTCAGTTAAGCCATTTACCTCTTTAATTTATACCAGATTGATACTAATAATACTAGCTGAAACACAGGTGAATGAAAAGATGGATTTTTGTAAAAATGCTGTATAATGAGATGATAATTGCAAATGAGCTGTGATACAATAATTAACAAAATTTATACAATGTGATAACCTTTTGTGTGCACAATTTAACAATATTTTGAAAGAGAGAGTGAGAGAGTTGATTGCAAGATTGAATGTTCAAATTGGCGGTTTGTTCATTTTTAAAACTGCAGAGTCTCGGGAAAACCTAGCCTTGATGATTTTATTTATTTGTTTTGGATCACCAGACTCCCCAAAGATGTTCGTAATTATCAAACTGGCCAGTTTACAATTTAATCAAACAGGGACTATTATGTAGGTTTGTGATCTACATCACTCCTTGCTGATCAGTGCAACGGGGCCAATCGACTGCTGAGTCGATTATTTGATAATTTTTTTATTTAGTATTTAATATTTATGAATTTAATGGGAGTCTATCCTCATGACCCTTTATCAACCCTAGCCTTCGACCGAGCACTCTGTTACCCCCATTTACGTTACACAATCAAACTCTCACTATTTAAAAAATGTAATACTGTTCAACAATTATTCTACACATGAAATACAAACGTTTTAAATAATAATACTGATGATGATAGAATCTGACTTTACATAGAATACAAAAATAATAATATCACAGACAAACATTGCTCTTTAAATTAATATGCCATTTCAATTCAATTTAATAAATAATTTTCATTTGACTAGGTTCACTATTATAACTTAAATTCTTTGTATGACATGACCAAATTTAATAAAACATTTTATCCTGAATCGTGACCATGTGCTCTAAGTAGACCAAATGAAACATGAAAATCTCAGACCAAACAAAACATGATTCATAACTTGTAAAACGAGTGGTACATGTGAAAAAATGTGGCAGATTGGCAAGACTATTTTAATACTAATACACAAATAACACAAACATTTACTTACGTACACATGTCGACACATACACATTCATTCCGACGAAGATTCACGCGTACCGAACATTTAAAAACTGACTCGTGGTAATTTGTGACTTTTTGTCTGACCGAGCGGAACATCACGACACGGTTTTTTCTGGTGTAGGACTTATTAATTCTTGTTTTTTCGAGCTGGCGTTTAATGATTCAATTGAAAATACCTTCACGACGACCCGCTATTCGCTAGAAACTGACATTTGCTATCGATATGATGCATGTACGAATTTTCATCACGAACGCGAACAATCAATCCGGCATCTCAACTGTCTCGACTTAATACTAATAAAACACACCCCCAAATGCAATTCGGCGAAATTTTGACAATTGCGATCGTTTGATGCACGTACAATTTCCGCCCGAACGCTAATTTCCGAGCTACGAATTAAGATATTAATAAATTCGTCCTACACCAGCGACAAAACGCGACTTCACATGTTGACTACGCGAGTACTGAGCCACGAGTGACGACGAGACGTTTGCACGCGACACGGTTCGAGTGTAGTGTTCCTCCGCGTTACGTCATGTTGGACTGACTTGTCCATTGCCTGGCGCGGATTTTAAATCTTTGAATTTTAAAATCGGCACAGAAATCTCCCCTGCCAAAAAAATTGGCCCGAGCGACCTTCAGGTCCGCACGAAGGCCTTTTCCATCCCGGGACAATTTCGACCCGGCGCGACGACGCTTGACGTGGCAACAGACGCTTCATTCATACGACACATTTTTTTGTTGATTTTTTTTCCATTGATTTACATTTAATACATTTAACACGAAACAATTTTACACATAAACATTTGAAATTTGAATAACAAAAATATAAACTCTGAAACTTTAACAATAATAAAAATTTTGCTTTGAGGTCGGTATTTGAGAAATAAAAATTGTTGTCAACTGACACCTTGCATCATAAACCAGACTGCATCAACCCATCAACAATTTGAATGGTGTAAACGCGCACGCTTAACACACTGTAGAATTATCTATCTAGCATTCAGCGTTGAGTAGATGTCAACAATCAGTTCATTGACCCGTAGCGCAGTCGACAGTCAGCTGTTGCCGATGGAGTGGGCGGGGGCGGGGGACATTGTTGTGGTGAACGGCCCGATGTCTGCCTGTCTGTGCGGGTAGGTTCTACTCTCGCCCCACCACAGCTGGAACGTGACCTCTGTTGGCCAGCCTTCATGTCGCTCACAGTGGTTACATAACATGACTCAGATGATTCATTGTTTCTCAAAATATGTAATTATGAAAATGTTTAAAACAATTGACCTCAGTTTGACTCTATTTACTCAAAATTGAAAACTATTGCACATGTAAATATAAATGTAAATATAAATATAAATAATCTCTGTACGAATATGACACAAATAAATAAACAAGTAAACAAACACAGAAATATCAATGTGGATCAATTGGATAATTGCCTTAGAGATAACAACTGATACCCTTATCAATGCCAACCTGCCTTGGTAGTAATGCCAATCTGCTTCCTTGTTACCAGACCTCTCAAATTAGTGCTACCACTTTTTGTAAAGAAAAATAAAAAGAATATTTCCTATATTCTTTTTGTAACGAAAAATAAAAACAATAAAAGATAATAGCTCTTTACTTGTTACTTCATTTCATCAACCAAAATCACCTCACACCTTTATGTAATGCAATTTGGCTATTCCATACAGGTGTGAGTATAACAAAAAGTTGCCCCCTGGTGGGGTTTTAATGAATTTCATTTACACTTTTAATTGAACTACTGAGGACATTACAATCACAGAGCTGCGCAGTGGAAATAAAGATGTTAAGTGTGGGCCCTGTAATTAAATATCCCAGAAGTCCGATTTATGGACCGTGAGAGATCTGATATCTTGTCCTCCTTCACACCTTCTTCAGCTTAATTCTAACACTTCTTAAAACTAATAGATGTGTCTATTTGAACACTCCATGAATTGAAATGTGCTGTTCTGATGAAAGATTGTGATATGAATTGATACTCTGTAAAACTGTAAAAATGGCAAATAATAATATTGAAATATTGATTGAAAATATTTGTGAAACTGTTTGTTCAGGAAATATTTATCAAAAGTATGACTTCAAGATGATATATATATACTGGATTCGGTTAAGCCGATTACTCATGAATTCAACAACTTGATATTAAATATTATGAACTGAACTTATAAAAATTGCACTGTCAAAATATATTTACAAAATGTGATCGTCAACACTCATTGTGTATACTTTGTATACTTCTTTCAGTTAAGCCATTTACCTCTTTAATTTATACCAGATTGATACTAATAATACTAGCTGAAACACAGGTGAATGAAAAGATGGATTTTTGTAAAAATGCTGTATAATGAGATGATAATTGCAAATGAGCTGTGATACAATAATTAACAAAATTTATACAATGTGATAACCTTTTGTGTGCACAATTTAACAATATTTTGAAAGAGAGAGTGAGAGAGTTGATTGCAAGATTGAATGTTCAAATTGGCGGTTTGTTCATTTTTAAAACTGCAGAGTCTCGGGAAAACCTAGCCTTGATGATTTTATTTATTTGTTTTGGATCACCAGACTCCCCAAAGATGTTCGTAATTATCAAACTGGCCAGTTTACAATTTAATCAAACAGGGACTATTATGTAGGTTTGTGATCTACATCACTCCTTGCTGATCAGTGCAACGGGGCCAATCGACTGCTGAGTCGATTATTTGATAATTTTTTTATTTAGTATTTAATATTTATGAATTTAATGGGAGTCTATCCTCATGACCCTTTATCAACCCTAGCCTTCGACCGAGCACTCTGTTACCCCCATTTACGTTACACAATCAAACTCTCACTATTTAAAAAATGTAATACTGTTCAACAATTATTCTACACATGAAATACAAACGTTTTAAATAATAATACTGATGATGATAGAATCTGACTTTACATAGAATACAAAAATAATAATATCACAGACAAACATTGCTCTTTAAATTAATATGCCATTTCAATTCAATTTAATAAATAATTTTCATTTGACTAGGTTCACTATTATAACTTAAATTCTTTGTATGACATGACCAAATTTAATAAAACATTTTATCCTGAATCGTGACCATGTGCTCTAAGTAGACCAAATGAAACATGAAAATCTCAGACCAAACAAAACATGATTCATAACTTGTAAAACGAGTGGTACATGTGAAAAAATGTGGCAGATTGGCAAGACTATTTTAATACTAATACACAAATAACACAAACATTTACTTACGTACACATGTCGACACATACACATTCATTCCGACGAAGATTCACGCGTACCGAACATTTAAAAACTGACTCGTGGTAATTTGTGACTTTTTGTCTGACCGAGCGGAACATCACGACACGGTTTTTTCTGGTGTAGGACTTATTAATTCTTGTTTTTTCGAGCTGGCGTTTAATGATTCAATTGAAAATACCTTCACGACGACCCGCTATTCGCTAGAAACTGACATTTGCTATCGATATGATGCATGTACGAATTTTCATCACGAACGCGAACAATCAATCCGGCATCTCAACTGTCTCGACTTAATACTAATAAAACACACCCCCAAATGCAATTCGGCGAAATTTTGACAATTGCGATCGTTTGATGCACGTACAATTTCCGCCCGAACGCTAATTTCCGAGCTACGAATTAAGATATTAATAAATTCGTCCTACACCAGCGACAAAACGCGACTTCACATGTTGACTACGCGAGTACTGAGCCACGAGTGACGACGAGACGTTTGCACGCGACACGGTTCGAGTGTAGTGTTCCTCCGCGTTACGTCATGTTGGACTGACTTGTCCATTGCCTGGCGCGGATTTTAAATCTTTGAATTTTAAAATCGGCACAATACAATTTGATTTACTGTACTCAAACGACTGAGTTAAATGAGATTTAAGCTATTAAGAAATTAATGCTCGTTAAAGATAGATTTTATGCTGTCAACGGCTTTTGTTACACTCTGACCAAGGGTGCCCCCCCCCCCCAAGGCTTATGATGCAAATTTCCCCCCAAAACTGGCTAAGACATAATCCCCCAAACCACAAAATCAGTCGTAGAGTTCTGGGTCCACCATCCTACCGTCCACCCCCGACTACCATACAATCTGTGAGTTGTTTTTTTGGTGATTTTTCAGCTTTTGACTCAATTTGTGTATTAATCATTTTATGTTTAGGTTGTTCTCATCTGATAACAGGACCTAATACCAAATGCTAAAATTGTCATAAAAACTTACTGTTTCCAATCATAATTGGAAACATCCATAATAATCATTCAAGTAACAAGAACAATATAATTTTATAACTTGTGGTCCACTTATGTTTTCAGAGCTTGGACTATGACATATGTGAGAACAAATTGTTGATGAACGAGGCTGTGGTTCGAGGCTATGCGTTTGTCACTCATAAAAGCCTCGCTCGATGGCTCATCTTCCTCATGATTGGTGTGTGCACTGCGTTCGTCGGGATCTTCATCAATATCTCCATTGAGCAGCTGTCAGACATCAAGTACTCTACGATTAAAAGCTGTATCCTTTCTGTGCAACGGTAGAATATGGTAGCAACAAGCTATCTCTCTGAGGAGTCACAGAGAAGTAAGGTACAGAGGAAACACACTTATTGGACAACTGTGCGCTTTCAGCATTTTTATGTGCTGGGAATACAGGGTGTTGAAAAAGTCTTGACACACCTCTCTTAATCATTTTTGGGCCTGTTAAGACTTTTTTAACACCCTGTATGCTTTTGACAAGCAAGTAAAGCCCAAGCGGCGAGCACTGTGTGGAAATTTCTATCACACAGGGCGCAGGGTCTTCCTCCATCTTGAGCGGTTGTGTTGGATTTAGCTCTGGACACTATGGAGTGTATCCTCTGTTCCTTACTTCTTTGTGGAGGAGTGTCATAGCTGAAACTATGAATATTGGAAATAATATGGAATAAATTTATGAAAAACCCAAGAGACGATGGTTAGGGATACTGGGCTGACCTACCTTAAAAAAATCCAGGCCTTGATAGAACTTTACAAAAAATACTTACTCTAAATCTCCAATATTAAAAAAAGTATGTTTATCTAATGATGGTTTCTTAATTCTTTACTTATTTTCTTTCTACTTCTTACTTCTTTCTACTTTCTACCCATGGTCAGGATTTTTTTGGTTGGACATATAGTCTTTGTATTTTTGTTATGTGCCGATAACAAGGTCAAGGTCATATTGCCCCAGGCATCTAGCTTTGCATACTATAAATAATTTTATTAAATTTTATTTAATACTTCTCTCATAGGAAAACTGCAGAAGATAATTCTTATTTATCGTTAATTACACTAATAACAATTCAAACTGATCGACAAAAGCAATATAATTGATCAAGCTCTAATGTACTAGAACATTATCATCCTTTCTGACGAGTTTGTAATCTCTTATCTCACATCCTGTGATGATTATAAATTCTTAGTCACCCATGAAAATGTGTCACCCAATGGACTTCAACAGGAAGGTTAAAATAAATGTTGTACGATAGTAACTGTGTTTGCATTAATCATCTACATTGAGCCAGCAGAGCTAAACAACAGTGAAAAAACTGTCCATTAAAATAATTACTTAAAAAATAAAACCGTCTAAAACATAGACTCTGTAGGGTAGAAATTTGAAAACGGACAATTTTTAGTGCACAAGTGTCTTATTTATTTTCAACTGAAGTATTGCATCACACACGGTAAAGATACGTATCAATTAGAGAAAATAATCTAATTGGTATGTATCTGTTTCCCTGCTCTACAGAACATTAAACAAATTACGATCTCAGATTATTAAAAAGTTGCTACTGTATTTGTTATTCATATGTCAATATTAGTCAGTGAATGAGAATGAGATTTTTATTTGCCAGTTAATATTCCATACAAATACTTTGGCACGTAAAATTAGTCATACATAACATGAATTGAGGGTGCGCTCTACCTCAGCTCGGAAATCTCAGCTCGGGCTTCAGTTGCTATGTTGCACCATTGGACAGCGCCACGAGAAGCGCTTGCAGAGGTTACCAAGATTCCTGTTTTCGAATTAACCAATAATGATAGCTACGCACTCCAAACGGCTTATAGTAGTTCAAAGACCAATCTATAGTTCTGCGTTTTTCAAATAATTTTTTTTAATAAGTTAGGGCTAGTTAAAATGACCTTTTTTGTCTTACAAATCAAGTTTATAAGGTGTGTATTTAAAATAACTGAAATAATGAAACACAAAACTATAGCAAATTTCTTCCTCTTTAATATGAGACCTTGAATTTGATTCTACCTTCATTGTAGCAGGTGAAAACAGATATCTTGCAAACACTTGCATTCGGCGGCGCGTCAGGGGTAAAGCTTAAAATCCAGTGGAGTCAGTGTCCTTGACATATAATCTTCTATTGAGTATAACGGCTGATTACAAAGATAGTTATTTATTTTAATCTCAAAATCCTTGTCACTAAGTAATCTTATGGCTATTGGTAACTTGTTATTCTTACTACTTAAAATTAATGGTCTTTTATCAGTCTTAGCAAGTCTAACATAAGGGAGACTTATTAGTCAGTGGTGATGTCTGATCGTAAAATGTCTTATTTCTACAAATATCTCATTTTTAATTAACAGCTACAGTTGAGTATTCCGTATAAAGAATGCACAAATTAAAAGTTAGTTCCTTAACACGAGACCAGTTTTAGATTCCTGCTCCGCCAAAGAATGCATGTACAAGCCATACTTTGTGTGGGTCGGGATCAATGCAGCATCTGTACTTGTTGGATCTCTTCTGGTCACTTTTTGTGAGGTTAGCAGCTCAGTTTGATATGTTCCTCACTATTGGTTTAAGTCCTTTCTTTTCTTAGTATAAAAGAGGTTAGTTTCATCTTGAATTTGTCTGTCCACATGGGTGTGCATTGAACATATTAACTAACCAAGAAGTGAGATGTACAGTTCAAGAATGAACCTCCCTAAACAGTTATTTTAATGTGGTGGCACCCATGTAATGGCCAGGAACCCATCCATGACATCGCTGCTTTAGATTTATGGTCAGTGGCACTACTGAGTGAGCCGCCACGCCAACTCGCCTAAAGTTGTATCTGTCGCTTTTCAGCAGTGTAGTCAAAACCAAAACACACGGTTAACAAATTGATACTGCATGATATCATTGAAGTATTCTTGTATTATAGATTTACAATTGGATTTGGCTTTAAAATATAAAAACTGCTAATTTATTATTTGATAAATGGCTACGTCAACGATTTGTAATCAAATTTTAAATAAAAGTCATATTAAAAATATTCTACTCACTTTTTTTAACAGATTTTAAATTCTTATAATACAATTTAGAGAAGGATGTAATTAAAAAATTACCCAATTTTCAAACATTTTTTTTAGCTGTTTATTTTTCTGCTTGTATTGTAAATGTGTGTGTTGCAGCCTATTGCACTGGGAAGCGGAATACCGCAAGTGAAATGTTACCTGAACGGAATAAAAATGCCACGGATCGTCAGAATAAAAACTCTATTTGTCAAAACGATTGGAGTAATTTCCACAGTGGTCGGAGGTCTGTGTGCAGGAAAGGTATGTAAAAACAATTAAACTAGGGTGGTCTACCGCTCCGTTACACTTTAGACGCATAAATGAGCGAAGCATTATTTAAAGACTGTCAATGGCTAAAGCAGCTAACAACCTACAATATGTTCCCTTTCAACAGATTCACCGTTTGTTTGCCCGATATTATTTAAGTTCTAAAAGAATGACAAATTTATCTGATAGTTCATTTAAGAATAATAATTGATAAAAGGTTATTAGACATATGTATTTGACATTTCGTTTAAACTGTCAAGAGCTTCATTCTTCTTTGCCCAAGATCCGTGTCTGTTAATTGACATCAATCGGTCTAGTGAAAATGGTGGATACAGAAGCAGGCCTTCAAATGTCTTAACTCTTGATAGGCCTACGTAGGACAAACCTAAGCCATATTCTGAAGATCCAATGTCCACAACAATCGATATGGCCAAAGACGCCTTGACGTTGGACAATGATGACTTTTAAGTTTTCGGGCAGTAATTTTAATTATAGGTTTTAATTGTAGGTAAGACAGATGCTATTTCATTAATATCTTGCTCAACATTAATGATGTTACCTTTGTAGTGAAACTGTCCATCCTGACCATTTGCTTGTACTTTGTAAATGCGCATAGCGGGATGTACTCGTGCAATCAACATTTTGTTCTACAATCGTCAAGTCAGTTAATTCGTTCGGGACACTTGCACTTGACACATCCATATTATTTAACGCCATGAATTTAATTGCATTTGAACGACAACGCGAACAAATCGGTGATTGGTTTGAAGCTGTTAGTTGTTGGCGATGACAGTTAGTGCAAGTGTCAAATTTTAGCGCATCTAATTCATGTTGGAATTGATTAGCTAACTGCCTATCATTATCAGCTTCTTCCGCCACTGCTTCATCTGGTTCTTCTTGTTCACGACGCCACTCTCTTACAATATTTGCATTATTGGTGCGACGACCAATATTACGACGTGGCCTTTGAGGCATGCTCAAAACAAATATAGCAAAACTGTTACTTCCATTGATAAACTGTTACATTCCAACATTACCCTAGGATGAAAGTAAACATTGAAATGTAAACAAAAGTTACAAACAATTAACATATGTTTATCTTATTTAAATGAAACGAGATAAACCCATATGTCATAAACCCAATATAATTTTTCTTTCAACTTACATTAAAATAACAAGCGAAATTGCGTGACCCGTAAAATAAAATCCAGAAGGAAATTTGCAAATATGTTTCACCAAAACATTTTGCTCAGTATTCTTTAGCTGTTGGCAAAATTTCATATCAATTGGTCAAGCCATTACATTCTAATGCTCTTACAAAGAAGTTACAGAAGTTAAAGAAGTGAGGGAAAGTGAGCTTCGCTCAATTTCGGGATAGCGATATGTCTTTTTTTGGTTTACGTTTACACTTATCGGCTCTAACTGAGTATTCGTTAGGAGCATCTAACCATGACTCTCCATGAGTAATCAGGTGCTATCTATTACAATATCCACCAACCCCTGAAGCCAGCATTATTGACCAGTGTTGAATGCACCTAAGGTCTTCCCTACATGTTCAAGGAACAACAGGAGAAGTTTCAAATGTTCTAATCATGATAGACTACATAATAGTTTATCTAAATTTTAGCATTTAACACATTGACTGCTGATGGTAATACTGCTGTTGGCTGTGGCCTGAAGTGGGAACAGGCTGTGTGAATGAGTGCGCAAAAATGTTCGGTTTCATTCAATAGAAGAGCCACAATATAAAATGCCTTACAGTGTTTGTAGACCTAGTTCTATAAGAAAATAACAAAAAGCAGTAATAAACAAAATTGCAAATAGGCTTTAAGTATTACCAAATTCAGATTAAATACCTATTTACAAGCCATTCACTAGTATAATTTTTAACCTCAAAATGCGAGCAGATCCTGTCCTTCTTTACTCCCTTCACAGAATTTAGGTGGTTTTAGGTGAAGAAATCTATTTCCTCCACATGATCCTACAAAAACAATCACTCAACATCTGAGGTTTGCCAAATTGTCTATCAGCTGCAATATATACATTAATAAAAAAGTAGCGGGGGAACTTCCCCTCAAACTGCCAAAATTTTGTGAACGTACCATAACATGGATGGCTAGGCCAAACTAATCGATAGAATTGTTATTGATCCGCCTGTCCCCAGTGGCGGGCCAGTATGGCTTGCTTGGCCAAGGCCTCCCAATTATCAATTAAATTGAGATGGGGACGCCACCTATGTGCATATTTTTTACCCAAATAGGAGTGTAGAATGGTGTTAGATGACCTGTGTAGCGTTGTTACCGACTAAGATCAGCTGTTTCATTATCCAGGATCATTTATTTAAAGCCCAATGATCAGGGACAGCTGGATCCAGTTTCGAACCATCCCACCAGAGACATTGGCGCAAAAAATGTGTTAATGAACATAATTCGTCTATTAAATAGGTTTTGGCACTTGGGAATTGATTTTAAAGGATTTAAAAGTCCTCACTTAAAGATTTAAGTCAGGATGTTGATCCGTCTCTCCCAGCAATGTATACAATACGCTATTAACAATTATTTTGCAAAGGTATAAAGTCCAAGTTTACCTAAGAGAATTTGAGTCCAGAGGCTAATAGAGATATACAATAAAAGATCATAAAACATAACATTGATATCTCCTGAAGAAAGGTGTGTTTTCTATTCATTAAAACCTCTTCAATCCTGTTCTGTTGAAGAAAAATGTTTATAGCCCTGGTTTAACAGGAAGGACCGATGATTCACTCTGGGGCTGTGGTGGCAGCAGGTATCTCTCAAGGCAAGAGCACTACCTTTAGCTTCCTCGACCTCTCCATCTTGACCTATTTCCGAGAGGACCATGAGAAGAGAGACTTTGTGTCAGGCGGGGCAGCTGCGGGAGTGGCCTCCGCCTTTGGGGCTCCAGTCGGAGGGGTTTTGTTCTCATTGGAGGAAGGTGCAAGTTTCTGGAACCAGAGTCTTACTTGGAGAATATTTTTCGCTTCCATTATTTCCACTTTCACTCTCAACATCGTTTTGAGTGCTTATCATGGGCATCCTGGTAAAACATAGTTTTAATTAGTGTCTATCACTTTTCCTATGACTTGCTTGCTAGATTTGATTTCAAAGATAAATTTTGTGCTAAATAAACAAAATACACATAGAATAATACATTTTAACTTTACCAATGTTTTTGTTATTTTTATTTTCTAATGAGACATTTTTTAGTTATGTTGGCATCGTCAGACACATCACAAAAACTGAAGGTTTGATTCTAACAAACAGAGAAATCACATGTTTTCAGTTAAAGAAGTCTTAAAATCCCCACAGTTTATAGACAATACATCTATGACTGCATACTAATTTCTAAAAATGAGGCAGTAAGTTCTAAATCTTCCATATGCTACAAGTACAATACAAGACATAAAAATGAAATAATCCCAAATCATCATAGATTAAAATTTTACGAGAAAAAACCAACATATTCAGGAAAGAAATTCTTTATGTATTTACCAAAAAATATAAAGTCTGAAAAGAATATTGAAAATTTTAAGAAGAAACTCAAAGAATTCATAATAAGCAAACCAATTTATTCTTTAGATGAGTTTTTCCACCTTTGTTCACAAAAGAACTAAAAGTATATTTCATGACAAATTATGTTAATAGTTAAGGTTCGGAGACTGATGTATTTTTAATGTAATTGTTTGACACTATTTATGTGTACCTATGTGCATGAAATAAATAAAGAATTTTTGATTTGATTTGAAGAGAATAACAGTAATGACAATGCTCTTATGAAAAAGACCACCTCTTTGAAATAAGTTTAAATTTAATCTCTTTAAATTCCTCAACAAATATTTTTAGTTTTGTTCTGACACTACATTAATATGGTGGATTGGAATTATTTTCTTCTCAATTTAAATTTCTATGTATGGAAAGATAATAAGAGTTTATTGCAAGGAGCTTAGAAAATCTCAATATAAACCTAAAGTAATGTTATTTAGAATATCTAGTTTGTGATCCTGACAAGAAGTGTTATTTCAGTTGATCACAAGCTGGCCTCCATGTTTAAGTGTTTCTTTTGCCCAAAGTTACATCAATTACAGAGATTTCATTGTGAATATACGAGTTTGTAACTTTCACACTATCATTATGTGTTTTCAGGGGACTTAACTTTTGCTGGTCTTCTCAACTTTGGGGAATTTACAAAGCTATCCTATGAAATATTTGAGCTGCCATTCTTTCTAATGATGGGAGCTTTTGGAGGACTTACAGGTGCCCTGTTTAACCACATAAACTACAAAATCACAGTGTTTAGAATGAGGTATAATTTTATTTATTTTTTATTGCATGTGGATTTTTTTTATACAATTTTAATAATATTTAATCCATTGTAACCATGTATTTTCCTTGAGATTGTTTTATTCAGTATTCAAGTACTGAAGTCCCATACGTTTTTAAATTTACTAATCTTTGTTTTGTTGCTTAGTTCTCCATATTTAAATCCCAAAGTACAAATGAACTTTTAATAAAACTACAAGTCACGCCCACATAAACAATATAGGCCCTACTTAAAATGTTCATCATGACGAGAAACCTTGCGCAAACTATCCATTATTTCATAAATTGTCCTTCAAGGTCGTAATTCCTTTCTAAAGGGAACTTTCCATATACCTAATGTTAAAAGTTAAAAGTACCTCAGCTGTACTTATTTGCAAGCTATTCTTTTATAATTTACTAGCTGTAACCCGCGGGCTTTGCCCCGTTTAACTTCTTAATTTTCAAGATGATCTCGTTCGCATGGCTCAATCACGTCCTGGTTGAAGTTCGTTCGCTACGCTCACTCACCTTTACGTTGGAGCTCGTTCGCTATGCTCACTCACCTTTAGGTTGGAGCTCGTTCGCTGCGCTCACTTGCCTTCAGGTTAGCTCGTTCGCTACGCTCACTTGCCTTCAGGTTAGCTCGTTCGCTACGCTAACTCGCCTCCAGGTTGAAGTTCGTTCGCTACGCTCACTCACCTTTTGGTTGCAAATTAGCTGTTGTCATAAATGTAAAAGAAATAATAGTGCTACACTCTGTTGGTAATCCTTGTAACTTTAATGCTATTGAACATCATAGAACAGAACCAACTTGTTTAATTGAAACAGCTGTTAATATTCATTAATTCCATTTCTCATAAGGTTAACATGGGAAACTCCAGAGCCACTGGGGCGGAGCCGATTGGACGGATCGCGAAATTGATGGTGTATAAACCTATTCCATGACATTCTACACGTATGTACCAAGTTTCGTGGCAATCGGTTCAGCGGTGTCTGAGTTTATCACTGCCAAACAAATATATATACAAACATCCTCTTTTATACTTATAGAAGACTAGCTATACCCGCGGGCTTTGCCCCGCTTAACTTCATAAGTATTCGCATGGCTCAATCACGTCCTGGTTGAAGTTCGTTCGCTAAGCTCACTCACCTTCAGGATGGAAATCGTTCGCTGCGCTCACTTGTTTTCAGGTTAGCTCGTTTGCTACGCTTACTCGCCTCCAGGTTGATGTTCGTTCGCTACGCTCACTCACCTTTTGGTTGCAAATTAGCTGTTGTCATACATTTAAAAAGTCATCCCTTTTATTGTTTATAATACAGTACTTTTTTAAAGGTTTTTATGTTTTAATATTTAACATTGGAGAATTTAAACGTTGTTAAGTGCACAGGTGTGCTTCGATTGGGGTTTAATACATTTGGACTTATTCAAAAGTAAAATAGTTTTCTGTGCTGCAATCTGTAGAAACACTGTGGCACTATTTCAAATCATGACTAATGCTAATACAGAATGTTGTAGTTATTCAAACGTACAAAACAGTTGGTGAAAGTAAACATCTGCTTTTAAATTATATTTATTTGTAAACATTCTAGATCAAAAAGTCTGACATTGGCCCACTTAAAACCCTCTGGGGCAGAGCCCTTTTGACGGATCTGCACCAAACTTCACTCGAACCATCCTTGAAAGATGCTTAATAATGCCTGAAAGTTTCATTACAATCTGTCGAGCGGTTTCGGAGTCCATAACGTATATACACATATATATACATACATTGTTCCTCTTTTATAGATAGTACCTGGGGACCGAGCTTTGCTCGGGGAAATCATTATTCCACTCTGAAAGCAGTCTTAGTACTGTATTGGAGACACATAGATCCATTCCCAAACTCCACACGGCTCGCCTTTACTACGTCCTACACCATTTCCTACGTCATGGACCTGTTTCCCTCCATTTCCATAGCACTTTAGGATTGTAGATACCTTAATCTAATCGTTATTAACAGTTCCCACACTCCGGACAGCTCGTCTTTACTACGTCCTACACCATTTCCTACGTCATTGACCTGTTTCCCTCCCTACCCATAGCATTTCAGAATTGCAGATACCTTAATCTAATCGTCATAAACAGTTCCCACACTACGGACAGCTCGCCTTGACTACTTCCTTCGCCACTTCCTACGTCGCGGACCTGTTTTCCTCCCTTCCCATAGCATTTTAGGATTATAGATACCTTAATCTAATCGTCATAAACAGTTCCCACACTCCGGACAGCTTGCCTTTGACTACATCCTTCACCACTTCCTACGTCGCGGACCTGTTTTCCTCCCTTCCCATAGCATTTTAGGATTGTAGAAACCTTAATCTAATCGTCATAAACAGTTACCACACTCCGGACTACTCGCCTTGACTACTTCCTTCACCACTCCCTACATCGCGGACCTGTTTTCCTCCCTTTCCATAGCATTTTTGGATTGCAAATACTTTAATCTAATCGTCATAAACCGTTCCCACACTCCGGACTACTCGCCTTGACTACTTCCTTCACCACTCCCTACATCGCGGACCTGTTTTCCTGCCTTTCCATAGCATTTTTGGATTGCAAATACTTTAATCTAATCGTCATAAACAGTTCCCACGCTCCAGACAGCTCACCTTGACTACTTCCTTCACCACTTCCTTCGTCACGGACCTGTTTCCCTCCCTTCCCATAGCATTTTAGGATTGCCCATACCCTTATCTAATCTTCATATACAGTTCCCACGCTCCGGACTACTCGCCTTGACTACTTCCTTCACCACTTCCTACGTCGCGGACCTGTTTTCCTCCCTTCCCATAGCATTTTAGGATTGTAGAAACCTTAATCTAATCGTCATAAACAGTTCCCACACTCCGGACAGCTCGCCTTGACTACTTCCTTCACCACTTCCTACGTCACGGACCTGTTTCCCTCCCTTCCCATAGCATTTTAGGATTGCCCATACCTTTATCTAATCGTCATAAACAGTTCCCACACTCCGGACTACTCGCCTTGACTACTTCCTTCACCACTTCCTACGTCGCGGACCTGTTTCCCTCCCTTCCCATAGCATTTTAGGATTGCAGATAACCTGATCTTATCGTAATAAACAGTCCCCACACTCCGGACTGCTCGCCTTTACTACTTCCTTCATCACTTCCTATGTCACGGACCTGTTTCCCTCCCTTCCCATAGCATTTTAGGATTGCCCATACCCTTATCCAATCATCATAAACAGTTCCCACACTCCGGACAGCTCGCCTTGACTACTTCCTTAACACCTTCCTTCGTCACGGACCTGTTTCCCTCCCTTCCCATAGCTATTTAGGATTGCCCATACCCTTATCTAATCGTCATGAACAGTTCCCACGCTCCGGACTACTCGCCTTGACTACTTCCTTCACCACTTCCTACGTCACGGACCTGTTTCCCTCCCTTCCCATAGCATTTTAGGATTGCCCATACCCTTATCTAATCGTCATAAACAGTTCCCACACTCCGGACCGCTCGCCTTGACTACTTCCTTCACCACTTCCTACGTCACGGACCTGTTTCCCTCCCTTCCCATCGCATTTTATAATTGCCCATACCCTTATCTAATCGTCATAAACAGATCCCAGACTTCTCACTGCTACCCTTGACTACAATATATCGAGTAATCTTCAGTATAATCTTTGCTAAATGATGTTTTTCCTTTTGTACTGTTATTTGTAATTTGCTAGTATACTGTGGGTAGTTGGCTTATTATGAACACATGCTACAACTTCAAGTCTTTTGTTTACTTTTTCCTTGTTATTTAATTCAGCCAACAAGGTTACCTAGCAACCCATAAGACTAATGTTAAAAAAATGTGATTTTCAGTTTCATTTTTCTACGTAATTAGATTTTTGTTGGCAGTTCTAACTGCAGTAAACTCGTTTTTAGGCCAGAATTAAACTATTTACAACATTGAAGAAAATCGTCGGAACCGTTTTCGAGATCTTTGTGCAAGCAAGCATACATACATACATACAAGCAAACATTGCTCGTATTAGAGTAAAGGATAGATTACCTTATTAAAATCAGGTGTGATTATTTATTTGTATTAGTGGTATTACTGTATTATGTTTGGTTTATTTCAGCTTAACCTAACCAATCAATAGTTTTATTAATACTTATGAATTCAAACGGGGTGAAGCCCCGTGGGTAATAGCTAGTTGAAGTACTGAAAGGTTTAATAGCTGATAAAAGGTATTTTAAATATTGGGTTTATTTGTAGAGTTTGTTAAATCTTATTTCCAATTGTATTTTTGTAACTACAGTAGATACTTACTAATCCAGCATCTTCGGGACTTTGGCGGTGCCGGATTATTGAAAATGCTGGATTATCATAAACTACATCTCCCTCTACTCCCATACTCCCATTGAACTGTTTGGAACACCCTGTATTATGATGTCCCCGCAGGGGGCTCACGCTTGCGTGGGTACGTGGCCTGGCGACCACGCGGACCCCAGCTCTCCAGTGGGGAGGCAATTGCCCGGTGTCAGAACTGGCACTTCAGGTAAACCATAGTTATGGCCGACTGGAAAGGCCAGCCCCCTTGAAAATTAATAAGGGGAGAGTCCCCAGTGACATTCCCTCCATTCAGGGTGGAGGGGTGTTTAGCTCTCAGTGATGCCGTTAATTCCGCCTCTCCTCACCTACCTGTAACTGTGGTTCTTGGGCTTGTCCTGCCTGTTGTGTTCGACTGACATTATGTGAGACATATCTTCGACTCTGGAAGTAGCCTCGTCCTGGGAGGTGAAAATCTAGACCCCAAAGGGGAGGCAACTGCTCGGTGTTGGTATCGGCATTTCAAGTAGGCCACAGTCATGGACGACTGGGCTGGTCCCAGTGACATTCCTCCATCCAGGATGGCGGGGTGTTTAGCTCTCGGAGAGATGGAAGTGCGCCATCAATCTCCCACCTACCTGTGTCTGTGGTTCTATGGGTTTCGGCCCGCTTGTTGTGTACGACCAGCATTCAGTGTGGCAAATCCTCGACTTTGGAAGTAGCCTTTCCTGGAGGTGAAATCGGGCGAGTACCCGTAGCTCACGGGGACACTCTAGGGGACGTAACTTTCCGCAGTGTGAGGGTAACGGTTGTAGGCACTTCTCCAGCCAATCCCTGTCTCTGAGCACGGAAGGTATGGTTATCTGGAGTGTGGGGGGTTCTCCCTGGAACCTCAATTGAGTTAAGGGTGTCGCCACCTTTGGTGGATAGGTTCATCCGGGTGGGTCCCACTTCTATACCTGCCTCCTTTTGGGAAACCTTGATGACTTGGCAGTGATGTTGGGTCTGATGGGCAAACGAAGTAGATCGGGTGCTGGGTCCGAGCCCGCCAGGGGTATACGGGGATCTATCGCTCTGGCTATCTCTGGTTTCCCAGCAACTGGGTAAGGCCTCGATCGGGTAGTGGTGTAAATGGGAGGTTGGGGTTCGCTGACGGTCCCCTTCCTTCTGATGGCGGGTTCTGCCTGTCAGGGATTAGATAGGTCCCGAGTGTTGCTTACACTATTGCACGTCCAGGGCACTCCTTTTAGTCCAAAGGGCTTTGGCCTTGTTGGAACTTAATTGGGGTGGGCGTGGGAATAAAGTAGCCGGTATCCCTGGTTAGGATTGAGGGGCAACCCTCTCTCCGATGGGTTATTTGCCGTCTGGCAGCCGGTGAGTGTGATGACCTTAAGTCATCCTCCGATGGTGTCGCGAAGGTTGGGGCGTTAGTTCCAATCGGCATCAGAGGTCCCGGGTTGAGTAATAGGTACCGGGTGTGTTGGGGAGTTTCGGCTCTTCTGACAAAGAACATAATGTAATGTATGTATGTATGTATGTAATGTATTATGATATTGGTGTGCAGGTATATCAGGCCTCGGTGGCTGAAGGTGATGGAGGCTCTGTCTGTCGCGGCTCTCAGTGCCACTGTAGCATTGCTGATGATGTTTTGGATCAGCGACTGTAAATCTCTGGGGACTGATCCAACAACCACACCAGTGCAGGTAGGGTGGAACTCGGGGAAGCAGAGGGGAAGTTGTAAGATAGGGGAAGGGACAGAGAAGAGGGAGGGGCAGAGTCGGGGAGGAGGCAGAGAGATTAAGGAATAAAGAGGGGAAGGGAAAGAGCGGAGAGAGAATATAATAGAGTAGAGAGGGTGGAGAGCAAGAGAGGAAAGGAGCTGAGAGGGGAAGGGAGCAGAGAGGGAATAGAGTGGAGAGGGAAAAGTGACAGATAGGAAGGGAGCAGAGAAGGGAAGGGGGCAGAGATGGTGTTAGGGAAATGAGAAGAATTTTTATATAGTTCCTTTAAAGGAGTTTGTTTAATCTATGATAGTGACTTTGTTGCTTTTCCTTCTGCAGTAGTGTCTAACACCTGACTTGTGTACACAGCTCTACTGTGGGGACGGAGAGTACAACACCATAGCCTCCCTGTGGCTCCAGGTGCCTGAAGCTACTGTCAGATCCCTCTTCCATGATCCCAACGGTGAGTTGATAGTCTTCTGCCATTCTAGAGAAAAACTAAACTTAAGTAAGTAAATTCTTAGTATAGAAACAGAAATCACTTCAATTTGATCACTCTGAAATTTTAAAGAACAATCAAAATACGCCTTAACATTTGTATGGTGTGTACATTAGACACTGAAGTAGACACTAAACTTGGACACATGTGTGGCAAATTCTTTTACTATGTAACCTGTAAATCTAGTTTATAGTGATATCTAAGGAACTCAATTCAACAGCCTTTACGCCATCAACATTCAATAATAAGATGAAAATCTACTTGCATATTTGCCAGACAATTCAAATATAGATAAGTTCAGGTAGAGTTTCTCCTACCTACACAAAATAATCTATGTAAAACGTCTGGTAAATACATGAGTAGATTTCCATTTTAGTATTGAATTGTCTATGTCTAGTTCAACCACATAATGCAGGGTTTTTTAGAGGAAGAAATCTATCCCCTCCATAACTTGATCCTACCATTAAAACATAGCTTAACAGCTGAGATTTGTCAAAACGTCAATCAGCTACAACATACATTAAGCAGAAAAACGTCGTGGGAGGACTTCCTCTCAAATTGCCTAAATATTTTGAACGGAGTATAGCTCAATCCATAGTTAAAGCTATCAACTTCCTCAAACATAAACTTACCACCACCAAAAAATTAACATAAAATAAATACGTTCAGATGCACTTTAGTTGGATACAAATATTTTGTGTTGAATGTTAGATTTTCCCGCAGGTGCCCACAATATGAGTTCCCTGGCCTACTTTGCCGTCGTCTACTATATCCTGTCTATCTGGACCTACGGTCTGAGTGTGTCTGGAGGGTTGTTCATCCCTTGCCTGGTCACGGGGGCTGCTTGGGGACGATTGGTTGGACTTAGTCTGGAAACGTTCTTCCCTGACTGCGTAAGTTAGAAAACCAGTGTTACATTTCCCAAAGATAATTTTACATTGGAACAATTTCCGTACTTATATGTTTTAAGGATGCAAATATGTACTGCACACTATTTAATTAGCCGATTGTTCCCAAAATGTGCAGTGGAAATTTGAATCAATGCGTGATGTTAAGACTTCACATCTTATGAATTAAGCTACTATTTTTAATCAACTTCGTTATGATGTACAAACTCGCCCAGTACTTTGTGTGAAACCTCATAGAAACAAACTTGGGAGACAAATACCAAACAATCAATTAAGAAATTTATTACACAATAATTACCAATACATAGCTTACAAAAGTGCAAAAACCATAAATGGTTTGTCTGCACTAAAAATATTGTTTCTTATATACAAGATGAAACCATTGACTTTTGGATACTGAAGTAGACATCCCATCTATATAGACCAGCTGTCACCAATTTGTGCTTTAGGTATGTTGTAATAAAGAAGTAAATAACGTAGTTGTGTCGTGTGAGCCAGTCACAGAATGTGGTAGAGGCTAAAATTCTATTTTCTACCTTATTTTTTGTTGCTGACCAAGTTAATGGGTCATAACAGTTGCTATAGTTCACAATAAGTCATTTCATTATTTTGACCTGGTAAAAAAGTTTGTGTATTCAACATAAATTAGTAATTTATACCAGCACAATCTGTCGGTAGCTCGTATCAATTATAACAGTTTTCATTAAAAAATAAAAACTGGTGACAACTCTAACATGGGGATAGAATTTATAGTTGTATCAATAGTCAAAGATTAAGGTCCTACAAAAAATGAATTAGACCTCCAAAATAATACAAGTTGTGCAGGACCAGTGATTAACTGCAGTGATCTCTCTTCATGCGTTTGGTAGTGAATCTCAGCAGTAAGTTTGTACTGGAGTTGGGTTCCTAATGTTATTCTCTTTGCATTATTCCAGTTTTATTTCATTAAACTCCACATTTCGGATTTAAACTTATGGGTTTTGAATTCAAATGTAATCTCAAAGTTATTCATTCTGTTGGTTGTGTGTTACAGTCATGGTGTATGGACCCAGGCAAGTACGCGCTGGTCGGTGCTGCGGCGCAACTCGGTGGAGTCGTCAGAATGACCATCAGTCTTACCGTCATCATGATAGAAGCCACAGGAAACATCAGCTTCGGCCTGCCTCTGATGATCACACTCATCATGGCTAAGTGGGTCGGCGACTACTTCAATGAGGTGTGCACTGGAATTTATTCATGACTGTATTCTAAGAATTGATTGAGGTAAAGTTCTGATGGTTCATGGTTGAATTTCAAAAAGTCACCATTGATCTATAGGAGTCCATAATTGAGTTCTAAGAATTCATGGTTAAATTCTAAGAGTAAAAAATATACAAGCTCATTATATTTCAGGATCTTTAGAGTTCACTTACCTTGATTTAGGTTCATAAAAGGTTTACCCTCTATCAATTCAATTCTGAGATTATACAATTGATAAACTGTCAGAAATCAATAGTCATAGAATTTTCAGAATATACTCACAGTATAATTTGTAGAATGTATCATCAATAAAATTAGTTTATTATTATTTTATATTTATTCCCGATGGCATATTTCCAACATACATGAAATTACAAAAAGTGCGATGATATAGTGAAGTGAACGTATTATAACATTAACCAGAGATAACAATAAATAACAAAGCTAGACATATCAAGATTTAACAAAAAACCTGGTAAATATTAAATAACAATAATTTAACTAACAATTCAGTGAGTTCAAAATCAATGGAAATCTGAGAACTTACTTTAGATATTGTCATGGATTTATTCTTATTACTCTTTGCCTTTTTAAAGTTTTGTTTGTTTAATTTGCTAAAAGTGTATTGAGAGTATCGTATAATCTTCAAATGTAGCTTAAAGATTCGCTTAACACAAGATCTTCATAGTCGATGTTTCTCTTTTTCTTGAAAACTCACCCTGAACACTACTTAAAAAATGGTTTGATCAATATTTAGGCTTTCTTTAATGTTTTATGATCACAATGTGAAAAATTGACAATATTTTAATTTTGACAGAAAACTATTGTAAAAATCCCTTTATTTAGTAAAAGTGAGACATACAAGCTATCTCTAACTTAGGTGCTAGGTAAAATAAAGTGACACCCTTGATTCGTAGAAAAGTTCTCCTACATAATTGTAGTTAGTTAGTTAGTTAACTGTTTAACCAAGCAAACTTAAGGTAAAATTTTTTGTAAATTATAGATATTTTCCACTTTTCCAGTCACATCAATATCATAGGAGGCCTATCAATAATTAAGGTAGAAATTGAACTTTGAAAACTGCAAACTCTTTGAGTGGTTCATTCAACTATGGTCTTTTGAATACAACTTTAACCCTAGTTGGTCCTTATAGACAGTCTCCTTTCCTTTAGTACCCAAAAAAGAACGCATAAGGACCCCCCTTCAAAGGCCTAGGGTGCTAGACCACAGCCCAGAACATTAAGGCCTGGCCTGGTAGGCAATGTCACAGCTAAATCCATTGGTAATTGACAGAATTTGGACCAGGAAACTCAGTGATTGTAGTCGCATTCTCCACCACTAGGTCAAGCTGCTGATAATTCCTAAAACCAATCATAATACTTTAAAATATCAATGCGTGTAACAATCCCGCAGGGTATCTACGACATTCACATCCAGTTGTCCGGTGTGCCACTTCTGGCGTGGGAACCTCCTCCGCTGAACTACCAGGTGCAGGCGAGCGCCATCATGAGCCACCCACCGTGTGTACTACGGACAGTGGAGAGTGTGCGGCACATCGTGAGCGTGCTACAGCGCGACACGTTCAACGGCTTCCCAGTCATCGACCCGCACTCCAAGAGCTCCAACACTATGGTGAGTTGAGATAACGTGTTGCAAAGTATGTGAAAGGGTGTATTTCGGGGATGGAAGGCTGGGCTTTACTTTAATTTTGTAGAAAGAATCAGTGAAAATCTAGTAGGGTATTTAGTTTTGAGATTAGTTAAGAACTGTTACGTAAACCAAGATGTTAGGAGGAGAAGTAGGAGGAAGGTGATGATAACATAAAGTGAGGAAGGATATCAAACCAAGAAGGTGTTTGAAGTAGGGGTGGAAAAGATAGTAATTTTAGTAATACAAAGAAAGGGTAACTAACTAGCCTAACCAACTTCGAGTCAGGGAAAAAGTGAATTTCAGCATCATGGGTGTAGGCTAATTAGTCTGCTAGTTTAGACAAACAACAATGGAAACTTAACCAATGGCTAGTGTGTAGAACCATCACAGTATTTGGTACTTCTATCAAAGTCAAAGGTAGTATTGAAAGTCTGATCTTACTTATTGGTACAAGCCAACCCAGCAGGGCGAATGAAAACCTCTACGCTGTATTATTTTTGCAGGACGGAATCAGATCTTCAGGCCGTCTAAGAGGATTGATTCTGCGATCACAACTGATCGTGCTTCTGCAAAACAAACTGTTCAACATCGCATCCAGTGATTGGGAGAATGGCAGAATCAGTATGAAAATATTCCGCAAGGCCTACCCAAGATATGGCACAATAGATGTGAGTATCTGTTGCTTACGCACAGTCTTTGTTGATGTTTGTGTAAAATATGTATGACAAGATGGTCTGGTAGTTATCATGTAGTTTTGTAGAGACAGTTCTTGAATTCAGAGAAATTTACCTGGCTTGAGAGACTGTTCTATGTTTTCTATTCTTAGATAAATGGACCTTATGGCAAAAAAATAGCAGTCTTGGCGTTAACACATATTTATAAGCTATTAGTCACATGTAGGATTTGATTAACCCTGTAGGCCTACTTCATATCAGGAGTTTAGATCTTTAACTAGACCAGCTGTGCTCCGAGGATAGTGGTGGTGTACTATTAAACAACCCACTTTGCAGTCATGGCAGCGAGTTCTCAGTCTAAGTGATTAATTTGACCTCTTCTAGTTCTTGTACTGCATTTTCTTTACAATTCCTATAACTTTTTTTCCGTTTAGGTCTGAATTCCATGTACGTTAGCCAACCTTTCTGTGAACATTGGAAAACTAACTCTGCACATCTAAAATACAATTATGAATATCTCGATAAGAGGGTAGCTGGCTAGACTCTACTTCATTATGACTTTAGTGAAATTACAAACAAACTACAGTAAACCATATTATGTTATTCTTTTGCAGGAAATAACGCTCACAGAAGAAGAACTAAGCTACACATTGGATCTGAGGCCATTTATGAACCCTTCTCCGTATACAATTCCTGTGGTAAGTACATTAAACAATTAATGAGCTTTTGCGACTTTAAAAGAGCTGTGGCTATAAAAAGGATAATCTGTAATTACTTTTGTGTAAGCATGCCTCACTAATGTGATTCATAAATAGCTTTTTCAAAGTTTTGACTTAATTATTATCACAGAAGTCTGATCTACAACTTATCTTGATTTAGAAAATTTTCTAACTGATCCTCCATTTCTAATTCAGACTGCCTCGCTGCCCCGTGTGTTCCGGTTGTTTAGAGCTTTGGGTTTACGTCATCTGATCGTTGTCAATGATTTCAACGAGGTAGGAATTTTAGATATCCTACATAATAATAATCCTACATAGTAATAAGTTTAGGTTTACCTAATTCTCAATGACAAACTATAATAATTGCAAACAACTGTAAGTTTCAAAACTGCTCCATTATATTTCATTTCCTTATAAAACGGGATTAGCCAAAATTTCCTGACAGTAAAACTGGTTTCTGCAGAATAATTTTGATATTGGCTGCTACCAATTCTTAAATCGCAATCACAAATACACAATAAAGAAAATTATAAGGTTCTTTGTATGTCAATGTAACCAAAATATTTTGACAAAATGAATGTATAATATGGAAAATAACTTATTCTTATAAAATGAGCCCCAACTAGGTAGGTACCGAGAACCAAGAGTCCACATTGGTCAGGAACTAGTATTGGTACCGAGTCCAGTACCGACACATGACTATTTGCTAGATATCAAACACCATTAGCTGGTAGGTTTTGTCCTCTGTTGGTACTTTCTAGGTCGTCATGCAGACCTTATACATTTTCAAAGCTGACGATAGCTCTGATTGTTAAGGTTAACTTAAAAAGTGTAACAAAACTATTTAAACCAATTTCCTACTTATTTATTTTTAGTTAACTGTATTGTTTATAATAAACATTATATATTGACTTATTTGATGATGATGATGCATTTCAGGTGGTAGGAATGGTTACCAGGAAAGATTTAGCGAGGTATCGTGTTTGGAGACACTTTGGCAGAACCGGAGTTGAGGAATTAAAAATCTCTTGAGACAAAAATCTCATTCATTAAGGTTACGCTCAATCGAGTTAGTTTTTACTTGAGTATTGTAAAGTTTGATTATAGCTGTGTGTATGTGTGTGCGCATACGCTTTACTATAAGCCTTGTTTGTCTTGCCGGTTGATATTTTATCAAATAAACTTTTGTACTTTTAGGTTAAGAAATTTAGTTTCAGATTTTTCTGAATTAAGTAAAAATTGGATATGGCACATCTTTTAACTTGTTGATGTTTCATATGGCTGTAAGAATAAATTTTATTGTAAGTTTTTAAACTCCCATTACGAGATAATAAACCACTGGCCTTTCTTATACACCTAATGCTCAGGTCAGAATATTAGAATGTTACGCTTGGTCTGTACAAAGGGTTTTGACTTAAGTACTGAAGCCAGTAAGTTGGCAAATTTACCTAACTATAACTAGAATTTTATTTTAAAAGTTTGCAATTTGACACAGTTGAGAATAAGCACTTCTTAAACAATTTATGGAATGAATATCTCTACCAAACAATGTTGTAAATGACAAACTTAGAGGTTGAGATTTTTAATTAACAATAAACAAATAAAATTTTCAACTGCATGGAGTTTCTCGTTTTAAAAAATTTCTTGGGTTGGCGATTGAATGTGCAGAAAACTGGCTGTGTTGGCATCGGCCCGGCCAAAAACTTTTAGATTAATGGGGCATTTTCCATTGTTGGTGAGTGAAACACAATTTTAACAACTTTTCACAATCTGGAATCTGACTCTGTCTTCAGATGGAAAGGAGCATAGAACATAAAGACTGTAGTTATTAATATAGAGTCCATAACCTGAAGTGTCATATAACTTGTGTGTATAATAATGAAAGATGTCCGAAATGATCCTGTTCACAACAGATTCTTAATAGTTTTTCAAATTGTCTAGTGTATTTCAATGTATTTATCTGTGTTGTTTTACATTCCAATCATCACTCGTATATTTTATAAAACTATTGTGCTGTTACTCATATTATCTTCATTGTGGATGTAGCCTCCGGATTGCCAAATAATATTAAAAAGGTTTAAATACCTGCTATTAAGCAATCCATTTAATTGCAGTTGCAACTAGTTTCGACTCCTATGTGGAGTCATCATCAGGCGGTACAAGGACTTCTTCTTTCTTCATATGAAGAGCGTCATATTTAACAAGTAAAAATAAATAAACATTTACACACGACACAAAACACGTTACGGACACGAAACATTTACTGATCAGTTACGACAACAGACGACGCTAACCCGACGGAGTTTAAGTCCAGACTAGTATTAGTAGTTTAAGTTTCGACAGTACTAGGTATATTTAATTATTTAGGTGCCTTAATTGTTATGGTGTTTGTTTAAAAAAAAAAAATAAGTATTGAATATATTGATTAATTGTTTATCAAGGAAAATATTTTTCTAAAGAATCATACACCCCTAGTCTGGACTTAAACTCCGTCGGGTTAGCGTCGTCTGTTGTCGTAACTGATCAGTAAATGTTTCGTGTCCGTAACGTGTTTTGTGTCGTGTGTAAATGTTTATTTATTTTTACTTGTTAAATATGACGCTCTTCATATGAAGAAAGAAGAAGTCCTTGTACCGCCTGATGATGACTCCACATAGGAGTCGAAACTAGTTGCAACTGCAATTAAATGGATTGCTTAATAGCAGGTATTTAAACCTTTTTAATACTCATATTATGTTTCGACAGTACTAGGTATATTTAATTATTTAGGTGCCTTAATTGTTATGGTGTTTGTTTAAAAAAAAAAAAATAAGTATTGAATATATATTGATTAATTGTTTATCAAGGAAAATATTTTTCTAAAGAATCATACACCCCTAGTTTTATCACCACAAAGCTGTGATAATTATCATAACATGAATCACATATTCTATTACTCAAACAGTAATGTTAAAATATTAGTATATTTTATATTGTAAAGTGTATTTTTGCATGTAAAATATGTTAATAATAAAATTATTTTATTTATTTGATGAAAAGGTGGTTTACTTTTAGACTACCCTTGAAACCTTGAATGCAACCACTAGAAACCGTGGACTAAGAAGTAGTTCTTAATTGACAGTTTCTATAGTGGTTGCATTCACCAGCTATCAATTCTGTCCTGTACGTGTACAGTAAGCGCAAGCAGTCTGGGCCACGGTTCCATCTCCACTAGCCCTCTTGTGTACATGCAAGGCCCCATAGCTTGGTACATGTCACCCATCCCCTCCACCTCGCCTAGCAATGAAGACAGCTGAACAAGCCCAGAGCCAAGTGGGCCAGATGTTTTTGGAAATGAGCAATAAACACTCCCCCCTACACCCCAGGCTCTAGCGCGGCCATGCCCAGACTAAATTGTAACTACTGTACATTATACTGATCAAAAATTGATCAAATGTCAGAATCTGGTTTTGGGCATTTATGTTGAGTAAGGTTCTGAATTTAAAAAATAAAAAGGTCCATTTTCAACAGAACAAAAATCTTAACATTTTTACCGTTTAAAATTTGTTTCCAACTTCCAACCCAACAATCAAAATCTCCCCTGCTTACTGGTAAGCCTACTTATGTTCTTGTAAGATAATTCAAGATTTATTTAGCCGTTCATTATTATTTACAATAGGCCAAGTCACTAAAACTAACAAAAAAAGTTGCCATTCCTTTTGACTCTCAAGCTTAAGTCCATCATAAAGCACACCAGAAAGCCCAAAAGCACACCACTAAATAAATGGAATTGCCACTACAATGAATGATAAGGTAACATTATATCGTTACAATATTTTCCCTTATTATAATAATGCCTGCAGATTTTGAATATATTAATATGTTGTATCCCATTATTTAATAAAATGTAGAGAGGCGTATGGAATTGTTGGAGGATACCATTTAATAATAGCAATATATTTTTTTATCAAATAAGCAACTTGATATGTCAATTTAATTCACTCAATGTTTGTTTTAGATTAACTAAAATCTATGCTCCGTTTGATAAAAATCCAAATTATTGTTATGTTAGCTTTTTGGTGGTTAGTGATGGTTAAATGCTGCGAGCAGCCCCCAGAAATTAAGAAACGTGTTTTACGAGAAAAACACAGTGATTATTTTTTTTTTCTTCTAAATGTCACAAATGTGATGGCCTTGATTAGAATTCATGAGGCCCCAATGTTCACTTTTTGTGGTTGTCCGTCTTTTTCTTAGTTTATTTGATATTAATCAGGAGAATGGTGTTGACACTTTAATTTTGTTATTTACATACATAAATGTTGACAATGAGCTATGATTTGTTCTGATATTTTTGTTAATAATAAAGAAAGGATCTCTTTAAGGAAAATAACACAGTGATTTAATGAATTAAAGTGCCAATGAACTAAATAAGTAATCACGGCCACCTTTATAAAGGTAGCCGTGACTAAGTACTATGTAAAGGTCGACAACCAAATGGTTGTTACAGTCAAATAAATAAATAAAAAAAACCCCATCGATGAAATGCAAAAGCTGCATGTTCAATCAACTTGAGTGCCTGAACGCGCCCTATAAGAAAACCGATGAACGAAACGGCTCACGGAAGATTTCTCAGGTGCCGTTTGACGTCACTAACTGCTGACGTCACTTTGAGGGAACACAAATACCGCAACTATACGCTTTAGGCTGCGTTTACATTGGAGGCACGCTTGGGCAAGTAAAATGGTGGCGCACGCTTGGCCAAGCTTGCCCTTTGAAACAAAATTGTAGCAGATTACTGGAAACCGGTGGCGACTTGACCAGTGGTGGTTACAGTGCTCGCCACTAGCAAGCGCACGCTGGGACAAGCTTGCGCTTCTCAAATCACGAAACAAAAATATTTGTTTCTACAAGCAAGCGTGCCTCAGTTTGTTGTGGTTCACCGACACAGTAGCATCGGTTGTGTCTGTTGGTAAAGTGTTTATAGTTGTTCAGCATGGATACGGAGGTGTTGATTGATGCTGTTCGCGCAAGAAGACCAATTATATAGGATAAATTAGTTTCAGGCTACAACCAGGGGTTCCCATTGCCTAATTAATGATTGTAATCCATGTATTTTTCCACCAGATTTTAGTGATTAATTTGATTTCTTGAACAGTGGAAAATAACACAGTTATAGTTTGTTTTTATTCACAACATAATGTAATAACACACACCCTGGTTTTAATCATAAAGAAAAATAATTTCAATTACTTTATGACTTGTAATGCAATTATCTGTCAAAATTAAATTGTTTTCTCCTAAACTTAATTGCCTTCATTATGTACTACAATATACCCTACCAATAAGGTAAATAATTCATTAACAATAATGGTAGCACGAGTGTAAATATATTTGATTAAATTACGCAAGTCGTAGGCTTATTTGAATTGTTAGCAATAACTACTACAATAATACTGTACATATAATGCTTTTCAATATTTGGTGTTATTCTCTCTAAAATTTAGTAAAATGTTTCTGGCATCATTCTAAAATATTCATAAAACTTATCTGGCTGTTGCAGAAGATCAACAAAAATCCGGGCATACTCCCTTCCTTCTTCTTGATCCATAAAAAAATTATTTACCCATTCCCCCCTTACTCGTTCAGAGTCTAATAATAAAAACTTTAAAACTCCATTCTCTAGCACAATATCCTCATCGTCTGACATGTCAATTTTGACTGTACTGTCCTGCTGAGACTAGTGGCACTTGCGCTTGGTTGCTCGTAGTATAACCACAACTTCGGGCACGGCACGCTTGCGCAAGCGTGCGCTACCATTTTACTTGCCCAAGCGTGCTTCCAATGTAAACGCAGCCTTAGAGCCACCGGCCTCAGTGGTGCAGTGGATAGCGTGGCGGGCTGACAATCCGAATGTACCGGGTTCGAATCCCGCCGTTAGCACTAACTCTTTGTCAACAATTTTTTTCATATCAGCAAGTTTGGTTGGTTTGGTTAGGTTATGACAGTTTAATTTTATAATTTAAAAATTATAAAATTGAATTTTAGGCATTTATAATTTTATTTTATGAACAAAACTATTTTTTTGATTAGTAAACCTTCATTCGATTTTTCCATTATTAGCACGTTTGGTTAGTTTGGTTAGGTTATCACAGTTTAATTTAATAATAGAAAAATTATAAAATTGTCTGTTTCTTCAGACGCAGCAGTTGGTGACGTCAGCAGTTAGTGACATCAAACGGCACCTGAGAAATCTTCCGTGTGCCCCACCGAACAAATGAACAGCATAGTGAAAGTGAGCCGGCCGGCTGATTTTTACTTTTTTTTTTATTTGAGGCTATGTTTGATTGTTTACATATCTTCATTGTTTACAGTTAATTTTTTTTTTTTTTTTTTTTTTTTTTTTTTTTTTTTTTAAGATTTTATTAACCGATCAGCATTACATTGCTATACAGGTTAGGTATAATACAAGAAAGACAAAAATAACATTATTAATTACATTAACATAGGTAGAGGTCAGCTATGGCTAGCCCCTCAGGCACTTATTGTCACTGTTTTAGCGGGTCGGACTGTAAAGGCACTGTCCACCAATGAAACACAAATGGAAAAAAAATGGTTATAACAAAACATCTTGAGGCAATCTGGGTTTTAGTCGGAGTCTCTGGATTTCAGAAGGTTGGCCTGTGTTATAAAAACCAATGCTGCTGGTTAATGGAAGTTTTGTAAATAATTTTGATGTAAATTTCTTGATGAAATCTTCTATAGGTTTTATTCCCAGTTCTAAATGTATTTGGCGGGTTCGAAAATACCAGGGACATTTTAGAATTATCCTTAAAACTTTATTTTGAAATGTTTGCAGTTTCCGAATCAGTGCCGGATTTACCACTAGGCCGATTAGGCCGCGGCCTAGGGCCGCAAGCAAGAGGGGGCCGCAGAAGATTGCACAACAATTTTTTTAGATAAACAAATAATTTTTTTAACCATTAGTTTGCCGCGATCACAGGTGACCATAATAATGTTTCCATGATTGCGGCCCACAGAAGATGTTCACGATTTTGCCGCGGCCGTGGGTGTCGATGATGATGTCCCTGTGATTGCGGCCCGCGGGAGATGTTCACGATTTTGCCGCGGCCGTGGGTGTCGATGATGATGTCCCCGTGATTGCGGCATGCGGGAGATGTTAACGATTTTGCCGCAGCCGTGGGTGTTGATGATGATGTCCCTGTGATTGCGGCCCACGGGAGATGTTAAGGGGATACGCCACTATCTCTGGGCCATATTTTTTATTTATTTTACATTTTCCAAAAGTTGCATTTTTAGATAGGTTATTTAGTTGTGAACATTTACCTAAAAAATGTTTCCAATCTGACAACTCCTAGTATAAAATAAATAAAATATAAAACGCCGCAACCAGTAATTTGAAAAAAATATGGACTATTTATTTTTTTTGTTCCTGATATTTACATTTTTGATTTTGTATCATAATTATGTATTATGAAGGTTTAAAGTAGGGTACATTTATTTAAAACAAAATAAGTACTTTGGTATTTTTATATATAATATAAAATAATAAACTAGTGTTGTCATGGGGATTTTAGTTCTGCCAATCACCTGTTACATCACCTGCGATTATCTCAATACCGTGTTTTTTAGGTTGTTATTGTACAAAAGTTAGAATAACTCCGTTAGTACTATACTTATAGTATTCAAATTTTCACCAGACCTTCTTTATAAAGTAATAAGGGATTGTGTGTATAAAAACCCCTATAGCATTACATTTACTAAAACTATTTATGTTTACGCTTAATTTTTAAATTTTTTTAGCTTTTTTATATTTTGAATAAAGTGTCCTATAAATCTTGTTTTGTTAGTTACCATAACGATTATACACAGAATGACTCATTATTTAATCCTGAATCAGGAAATAAATAGAATATGTCATTCAGTTCAGTAGTTAAAAAGTTATTCTCAATACCGAATCCCTAAAAATTTGGGTGAAAAAAACTAAAACCGCATATACATTTAGTAAATAAGTCATAAATTCAATTTTTTTGGACCTAAATCTTCTAAATAAGTCGAGTATAAACAAAATATACTAATTAGGTTGACAAAAAAAAAAAAAAATAAAGTAGGAGATAATGGCGTATCCCCTTAACGATTTTACTGCGGTCACGGGTGACGGTGATAATATCCCTTTGTTGCAGCCCGTGGGGATGTTCATGATTTTGCCACGCTCTCGTATACCTATGATTGCTTTGACTTGATTTAGGAGAGATGTCCACGATTTCATCCACGATCACGGGTGTCAATGATGATGTCCCCTTGATGCATAAGAGATATTCACGATTATTTCCGCGATTGCAAGGAATTTCCACCACAGGGGGAGGGGGAGGGCCGCTCAAGTAATTTGGCCTAGGGCCTCAAGTACCCTAAATCCGGCACTGTTCCGAATCGAGCTTGATGAAGCAGTTCCCCATACTGGGCAGGCGTATAACAATAGTGGACGTAGAAGTGTTTTGTATAAAAGGGTTCCATTCTTCATAGACATAAATGATTTTTTGTTGATTAAAGGAAATAATTTTGATAATCTGCCAATACAGTTTACAGTTTACAGTTTACAGTTTTGTTTACAGTTAATAATTTTATTGTTTTGGTTTTGTGTAGTTTATTAATACTTATATTGCAAACGCACTAAGGCTAACGCCAAAGCTTGAGGAATTCTATTTTATAGGAAATCACAGCTTACTTATTTCGAGAAAGTCCAAGGATTAGGCCTATGAGATGATGTTAGTTCTATGTGAATGTTTACCTTGCAAAGTTTATAAATAAAATACTAAGTTTAAGTTGTACTAATTAATTTTTTACTATTTTGTTATTATTCATGGTCAACAGAGATGAACCTTTAGTTCTAGGGTAGTTAATTTACTTTGGGTTACGGTTACTTAATCAAGAAAAATAAATTTAGAAATGCATCTTCAAGGAAACACTGGAAGTTTGGAGGTGAGAATTAGGCTTATTTGTTTTTACATTAAGTTTGTTAGGCTTATAAAAATTTGTCGGAAGTTGAAGTGGGCAGACTTTTGTATCTGTTGGCACAAACAACCGAATGAAAATATTGATTGTTTCATTCGATATATCAATCGATATTTTCATTCAGTTGTTTGTGCCAACAGACAGAAGTCTACCTGTTGAAGCCATCCTTTACTTTGCTGTTAAATTCCTTAAAAATTGTATTTACAGTATTCAAGTACCGGTAGGAATTTGTAATTCGTTAATAGCCTACTAAGTTAAAAATCCTTGAGTCTACAGGTCTATGTTTAGTAAGGCCTATAAGCTTAACCTCTTCCCAGACTATTGGCGGATACATCTGCTAATATTTTGTGCGTAGCGGATGGTAGGCGGCGGTCTATTTGGGCTCCGTGGACACATTTTATGAATATAGCTTATTAAGACAGTTAACGTATACTTAAGTTAGCCGATTGTCTATTACAACATTAACTTAAAATCTTCATAACAATTTCCATTTATTTTGTAGCCTATAGGCTATCCTTACTTTCCTGTTAAGGGGAACAATCATTATTATAGATGATTTCTTTTCGATAGGCTATCAATATTTTTGTTTTCCTTTACGATCCATATTCCATCTGTTTTAATATCTTCGAACGCATTTAAATTACAGATATAGGCCCTAGGCCTACAGACAAACAGACATAGCAAATATGTCTAAGTTATACTTGGTTCAATAACCGAGTTATTGAGTAGCCTATAAGCTTGTATAAGAGAATAGGATTAAGAACTAACTTATTCTGGTTTAGGCAAAAATAATATTTATTTCTGAGGTGTTGCCTTCCCGATTACTTAACAATTTTTAATTTAACCTCTAGATTAAAAAAAATAATAGCCTATATATTGGATTAAGAAATGAAACTATTCTAAACTAACCTAACATAACTAATTACCCTAACAAACTTGCTGTAGGCTTGGTTACCGTTTCAAAATTCCGTTTGATAACAGAAGAGGCATATGGGGAATAGGCTATCAAACGGAATTTTGAAATGTTACAGCAAGTTTGGTTAGTTTAGAACAGTTTTATTTCAACGTAGGGTAATTTTTTTTAATTGTTTGCTGATACTGAACAAAATTTATTTGCCGTATTCGTCAGCTAATAAGTTTCAATTTTGTAATATCAATATAGGCCTACGGTAGGCCTATCGAATAAAAAAATAAAATATCAATATCTCGAAACTAAATCATCAATAATAATGAATGTTCCCTTTTACAGGAAAGTACCGGCTATCTTCAACCAGTGTATGGTATACTAACTTAGGAATGTTTTCCTTTAAGAATGAATAATTATTTTCTTTTCCCTGCTGGCAGCACTGTTTGACTGAGTCTCTCAGCTACAAAAGGTGTTTCTCGTCGTATTTGTGGCAATTGCACTCCAAGTTGACCATACCCGCTATAACACTGTATATTGAATTTTGTGTTTACAGTTTTTCTTTTCTGTGATTATAAAGATAAGCCCTAAGTAAGATAATTGCTATATGCCTACTATTTTGTTACGATTTCATGGTTGATATACAGATAGTGACTTAGGTAGGTAACTTATATTTCTGCAATGTGCTCTGTTGATAGGCGGATATATCCGCAAAACATATTTTTTTGGCCCTCTGGGAATGATTTTCACTAAATGTTACCGATGTTTTAGCAACTTCAGAAACAGACAGTGATTATTATCCACCCAGGGTCGTTGTATGTTAGGATCGGAAGAGCGTCTGATTCTAGTCCGCATACAGAGGTTCATGCAATAGCTCGAAAAAGATATCCAGAAGGATTGAGACACCATGACCCAATGCTTCCTCCGTTAGCTCCATTGGTAAGTAGAAGCCTGTAAGTATCTACCATCTACTTTAAGGAGGTCACAACCCAATGTTTCAAGCAAATAAAATTACTACGCTAAGTAATGTAATGATTATAGTTTTTATTTTTAAAAAAAGTTGAATAACATCGAGTTGGATATGTTAAAGTTAAGTTAAAAGCGACAACCTTTTTTTACAACACTGCTCGTAAACTAAGTTAGCCCTGTACCTATAGACCTAACTTACTTGCCACCCTGGCTTGATATTAAAAAAACTGTGAACAAATTTACTTTCCTGGCGACTTTTCATACCACCTACCGTTGCTTGTTCACAATCAATAACTAGGAATAGTCTTCATGATGTTGAATGAATTTGTTAAGTTATGAAAAAGAGTTACATAGAAAAATTTGAAACAGAAAAAGGAATGTAAGGTATAGGTGACTTCTATCCATGGGAAGGAACACACAGTGAATATGACCTTAGCATCAAATTCATTAGCCCTGTGTCAATATTTCTTTGTCATTCAGAAACACACTCATATGTCAGCTTCATGGTAAATCTGTTTGTATCTACAGTAGACCCACTCTTACCCGGACTCTTTGGGACCAAGGCCAGTGAGGATAGCGGTTTTCCACCCCCTAAATTTTTTTGAATCTCTCAATAACCAACTGAAATATTTTACTTAAAAGTGCATTGTATTTCGAAACTTATCAATCCCAGGTCTCCTATTTTCCCACAAAAAATTTGTTTCATTACCACCCACTTGCTGCCGATTCAGTCCGGATTAACCGATGTGCTGGTAAAAATTGTCCCATTTAAATATATGTCACTTCTGCCCAGTGTAGTGCAGTTAAAAGATGACTGGATAAGAAAGAGGATACTGTATATGATATTTTGTCTGAATCATCGGTGAAAGTTCATTTTTGAAGGGAAAAAGCAACTTTGCTTTAGAATTTGTTAAGGAGAAAGGAAGACACAACTAACCTACTTGAATAAAGAGTCCCAGGAGGTTAAAAGAACAAAGTAGGTAACACAATTTAACTGATATTTCGCCCCTTTCAGGGGCTTCTTCAGAGGTAGGATGATGAATAATCAGTTAAATTGTGTTACTTTTCTGTGTTTTTAACCTCCTGGAAATTTATTCAGAGGAGTTAGTTGTGTATCCTTCCTTTCTCCATAACAAGGTCAAAATTTATATAATTTCATATAGTTGTGTGGTTAAGTATAATGGTCATCAGTGGCCTGGTGATCAGAAAGTCACCGATTAGATTCTGGAAATGTCAGATGTTTTTTGATGGCTCTAACTGGACCTAGCTGGTATTGGTCATGGGCTTTCATTAAATAAATGGTACTGGATAAAGAACCAACTAATTTTAGTGAGTAATAAAGCTGTAATTTTATTCATTCAACACTCGATATAAATCTAATCTAACCAGTCAAAACCTAAATGTGATCCACTAGATTTGTTTACTTCCTGTCATACCTAGCTAATAAGTTCATAATCATTACTTCCTATGATCAATATTCTGCAGTCCATGGAGGTGCTGCAGGAGATGGAGGAGTGTCGTCTGCAAGTGTCACACACTCTGCAGTCTTGTCTACAGTCTGACGGAAGGAGAAGGTACGCAACTCCTCCACAGCAGATTGCTGCGTTCAACCGCAGAGCCAAGCCTGAAGTGGGCAACTCCGTTCCTGGCACAGAGCTGACTCAGAGCGAGGCCAATACCGTCATCGGTAATGAGGTAAGGTTTACTGCAGTGTTTAAATTGTGAATAAGAAATTTTGGACCTTTTCCGTTAATTCACTACCACTTTGTTTTTCCACATCTGAAATTTTATAGACTAATTATCTCCACATATCCTCTTTTGGGTTAGTTTTGTTGGGTTAAGTTGGATTAGGTTAGGTTAGTGAATCATAACCTAAACCTGAGATTGAGTATTGTTTCGTAAACTTATAGGTAACAGTAACTACAGAAAAGGTGCAAATGCTTTTTCCTCTAAGTCAAGCATACGTTAAGAGGAAAATCTATGCCTATCTCTACTACACTTACTTTGGAATTCAATGCCTAAGTTTTTTATCAGGACACAAATAGGCTATCATTTTTTAATTACAAATTATCAAAAACACTAAAAACTTGTATTCGAGTAGATTGTTTTCTGAAAGTTTTCTTGAAAGCAACCTAACAGTGCCAGTGTCAGGCCTATCTATTTGATATTCCTGGATAGCGATTTAACTTGCATACTTTACCTGTGGACATCTCAATGGAAACTCTAAAATATAACTTCTGGCCTAATAGAACATTTTCTGTATTGGGGAACTCTCTCCAATAAAAGCTGTCAACTATGATTAGCTATACCAGTACTCAGTTAGTGCAGCCATTAACTTCATAGTGAGGAGAGAGCTGATCTAGTGGTAGAACATGGGACTTCGGTCCCCGATGTCTCAGGTCCAAGTCCTGCCAATGACCTAAATGATCTAAGTCAATGACATAGTTTTGATCTAAGTGATGATGTCACGACCCTCTATTAAACCTTTTTAAGATGAATTGTTTGTTTAGTATGGTTGTTTTTGGCTGTGTCTAAATTCCTTGTTAATCACATTTGACTGGTTTTCAGGTTCTTCGTTTAAACCCATCTCTAGACTACAACATCCACTTCCCTATTAGGAGGGGGGAGTTGAACATCCATGGAGGGGTTGGGGGATCTCTGTCGTCCGTTCTAACTGACCTTCAGGAAATATGGAGCTGGGTTATCATCCATAAACTGAACATACCTCTCACAAATCTCAAGGTACGTACCCTGAATGTTGGTAGTGGATTGCAAACAATGAATCTTGCTTGATGCAAACAATTTATATGGCAAGGCAATATCTCTGTGTTTGTTTCTAGATGCAAACAATTTATATGGCAAGGCAATGTCTCTGTGGCCTTGCTTATAGTCATCATATAAGTCTAAAACTTCAAAAACATAGTCTATCCAACAAATTTTGATATTTAACAGATAGGGTCGGATATCAAATTTGGGCAACCGAATCCGACCCGATTTTTCGGATATCCGCACACCTCTAGTTTTTCTCACAATCAAAAAATATACTTCTATAACACAAATTGTTGTGCTATGTTCAGCAAGATAAATCAAAGATAGATTTTTCAATGGAGCTTGAGACCAGCTAAGGATTGTGATTTTCAATGTGAATGTAGGAAATCTCTCAGACTTTTCAAACATGTTACTGAGAGTGCAGTTTGTTAGGTGTGGAAATGATCATATTACGAGAGGACATTTACTACAGAATTTGAAACAGAATTTAGAGGTTCTACCTCAAATGAAGCTGGATAAAAAGCATAATACTAAACTAAAATCATAAAATTTGTTGGTACTAACTAACTTTATTAATTACTTTTGTAGGGTTTATTATTTTTCAATTTTGACGATAACGCATATTATAATATTTCCAATTTTTCATGTTTCCTATTTTTAGTCCTGTATTATTATTACTTGATTTAAGTTCAAATATTATATTGATGTCGACAATTAGTGATATTTGGTACATTTTCATTTCTGTTTACCACATTGTATTTCTTTGTTTCATGTAGCATTACCGGGCAGTGTTAGTAGTACCTGACATTTACAATCGCCTCTACCTTAGGGAACTGATGACGTTGCTTCTGAATAAAATGGGCTTTGGAAGCTGTTTTCTTCTACAGGTATGTGATACCATATACTGTACATTAAGGATGTGTGGTTTCCATTTTTTTATGGCTTAACCGGTTCAGTTCTTGGCCAAAAACTGTTCCGGTAATAATAAATTACTAAGAACGCATTTGCAAAGGAAACGCAACCACAACACGCTCATTTATTGAGGGTGTTGCAGAGACTTTCTGAAGGCGCTTTTTTACTGTGTACACCTCCAAAATTGGTAAAATCGGTTTATCCTCATTTATCCATTATGATCCTGGTCCTATCTATACCAGATTTATACAGTTGTAAAATGGAGATATCCGTTGGAATAAGTAAATAAATAAATAATAGTTTAATAAATAAAAGTTTTTTGATGGTTTGAAATTGGTCCATAATTAGACATTTAATAGTCAATATTTTTATTTCACATAAGCGTAGCCGCTTAATCAATCAAAATTGTTTGTTAAATAGTCCTGGGCCCCGCTGTTCCTGATCATTGGGCTTTCAATAAATAATCCTGACTGATGAACCAGCTGATCGTAGTCAGTAACAAAGCTACACAGATCATCTCACAACACTCTACACTCATCCTTCACTCATGTTTGGGTTAATATACGCACGCAGGTGGTGTCTCTAACAATTTATAATTGATATAACACCTGATCTTTGTCAGTTTGAACCTATAGCTCATCCATACCTCTAGACAGTAGAGGAACAGCTGTATGTTTAATATATTTTTTACAGAAACTAATATTCCTTGAATTTTTCTGTGGTGTTCAGGACCATGTGGCCGCTACGTTCGGTGCAGGCTTACCTTGTGCTTGTGTCATTGATTGTGGACATCAGAAAACGTCAGTATCCTGTGTGGAAGATGGAATCTGCCATCCTGCTACCAGGTGTGCTGTTAGATTTCAGATTGTGATTTTACTAAAACTGTGTTAGGTTATTTTTGCTTATCAATTGATTACCTTTGGTAATGGTAATACTAAGGGGAGGGAGGGGGTAGGAGTGTGTGAACCAAGGAAGACGAGGGGCAAACCTCCGAAATATGCTGGGGGAGGTGGAAGCGGAATGAAATTTAATGAAAATCATTAACATCATCAAAAGAATAGAAATAAATATAACAGCTGATTATAAACAAACAAACACCAAAGAGGTTTTTAATTTATGACTGGAGGACAATTAGATGCTATCGTTACAACTAGAGTTAGAGTGTAATTGTAAACCGTCGACACTGTTGATTTTATTGGGTTGGAAAGCCGAGTAAAGCTCGGTCATTTCATAAAGTATACAGGAATTGTCCATTCTAATAAAAATATTCGACCGTCTTAATATTCTACTACAGTAGACTCCCTCTTATCTGGACTCCTCGGGACCAAGGTCATTCTGGATAAAGTTTTTCCCGGTTGAACCAACGACCCCAAAAACAGTATTTGACTTAAAATTAGGAGAGCATTGTATTTAGACACGTAATCACTGGTCTCAAATCTTTCCCATGAGAACAGTCGTTTCAGTACCACCCACTTCCTGCCGATCTAGTCTGGTTAAACCGATGTGCTGATAAAAATTCTCCGGTTAAAGAGATGCCATTTCTGCCGAGTGTAGTCCGGTTAAAAGGTGTTCGGATAAGAGGGAGTCTACTGTACTACCTTTTTGCCACTACTCTCTTAATCTAAATTTACATTGTAGCTTACATTTGAATATAAATAGTACTCTATTTTCAGGGTCAGGATAGGCTACGGAGGAGGAGACATTACGCAGCTGTTTCACTGGTTGCTGCAGAAATGTGCGTTCCCATACAAGGGATGCGACCCGGCCACCAACCCACTGGACGCAGCATTGCTGCAGAACTTGAAGCACGACGCTTGTCATGTCAATCTGGATGTGTGTGGATGTACTGAGCGACAGTTTGTAATACCTCCAGGTCTCTCTTACACCATTCAGGTACACGTTGTGTTTTATGTCTAGAAACTAGATGTAGATAAAGCCCAACTACCCACTAAAAGTTTTTTTTTTTTTTACAGTATACATTCCTGTAGATTAAGTAGTGGTTTTTGTTACTTCCCATCCATCCTAGGACCCTAGGCTTTAGCTTAGAACCGTTTTACATATTACTTCAGGCTAGGCCTAGTTGGTTGCTGAACTAGTATATTGCTAAAAACCATTGCCGATTGACAGAATTAAAACCCAAGACCCATTCTCTACTACTAGATGAACTCGCTCCCCGTTAAGTAGATTGATTAATTAGTAATACGGTACCGGTAGCGGATTAAAGTTATTCTTATTAAACCTATTTCTTACTGTCAAATGCCATCTCTGATTTCTGACCATAGTCTTGTAACTAAAATTAAGCATGTTTTTTTTATCAAGAACCATGTAAAGCCAATGATTATAGTCAGCAGTTGGGATCCAACAGACAACCTGGTTACTAAATGAGCAGTATAGTCAGACACTCAATACGAATACACTATGTTATATGACAGCCATGTTATAGATGGCAGATGAGTGTTTGATCGCTCCACTGGGTATGTTCTCACCGGAGCTGCTCGGAGTCACAGGTCCAAAGTCAATAGTCACACAGAAGCGCTCTTACGGAGACCCACACGATCCTCATGATGCTGAATACCTCCGAGAGACAAGCGTAAGTGTACATGTTTAAACTGGAGCTGCAGCAAATTTAGACTTTACAATTTTCTTATATTTGGTCATCTGTTTTGATCTGTGTTTTGTTGTTCTTAAACAAGTGTATAAGCACTAAGCAGCTTGATTTTCAAGCCTTGTCTAAAAAGTTGACTAATTTAGTACTAAGTTAAAAATTGAGCCGAGTTGAGCTTTTATTTTCATGACGTTAACATGAGTGCAGAAAGCATCTGTAAATTTTGTGCAATCGATAATTGCTGATAATTATGCCCCTTAAATTTTTGCAAAGGATCTTGGACATCAACTTTTTATATGGGAGAAAACTTGCCTCAATCAAATAACTTATGTCAACCTCTCTAGATATCAATGATTTTCTAACAAAAGAAAATTAACCTTAGTAATCAAATTTAGTCATGAAATCATATTTAAGCTATGTATTGCTGCTTCAATTGTGAATTGTGAATCACTCTTAACGAGTCTCTTCATCTTAATCGATTGTTCTCTTGTAGCGTCGAGGAGCCAAGGAAGTGCTGGAGGGGGTTGTGTCTCAGGAAGGAGCAGTGGTGGGGGAGAGTGTAGGGGGAGGCGGAGGAGAAGAAGACATCGTAGTAGACGCCATGTTGGAAGGTCCACAAGGCCAACCGTCGCAACCTACAGAGTTCGTACTTGGTCCTGGACAACTGCTGGGACTGGACCAGGCGATACTCCAGTCCATTGATAGATGCGGTTAGTTTCACTTGACAATACATCTTAAGATATGTCAGATAATATATCTACAGAAAGACCTCGTTATGTCTGCTGCCTTAAAATCAAATTTTTTGATAACCCAGACCGGTTTGTGATAGGCCTAATAAACATATAAAATGTTTTTATACAAGTGCATAATCGATCGTAGTTGTGTATCCAGTGTATTCCGACGACTGTTTTTTCTCTCTCTGAGACCGTGTTAATAGTGATGCCTGGCTTTACAATGCCGTACTTGTGTGGTGAGTCATCTTGTTTTTGTTTAGTTGTATTTGCAAATGTTATGAAACTATGTTGCTTTGTTATAAAGGAAATTATTGTGTGCATATTTTCATTTTTTTATTATATTGTTTTCTGATGTTTCTTCGTCTAACATACACCTGTGTCGGTTTAGCCTTGGTCCTAGCTAGTTGAACTTGACAATGTTTTACTGTTTTAGTACTTTTTCCCTTTAATTGACTGTCCGTATCAACATAACCCTGTATCCATTTTAAATTAGATAGCTTTAACTGTTGTCTGTTACTTCGACTATCTATTGTCTAATTATACCTTTGGTAGTGAAATAAGAATGTGTTGTGCAACTCTCTTTGAAATATTAAGTTTAATATGTTAAAGTTTAATATGTTTTGATTATTTGATTAATATGTAAAAACTACAACATATTAATATGTTTTTTTTTTAACTTCCTGATAATTATCTTAGATTAATTACATATGTATTCTACGTTCCTTCTCCCTAGCATCTAATAAAATATCCTAAAACTTTTTGTTTTTGCAGGTACAGATGACTTGAAACGGAAAATGTACTCTTCTATTTTGGTTGTTGGTGGAGGAATGAAGTTTCAAGGCATCAGTACTTGGCTGCAAAATCGGATAGCTTTGCAAATTCCGTACATGCTGAGATCAGGTGATTTTCACATTTTAAGATATGGTTTACAACTTATTCATTAACTAAATAACTTCATTAAATTCATTACCTGAATTGATACTATTTTGAAGACACGACTTACTATTACTATTTTTATTTTTATTGAAACAAGACATACAAAATGTTTTTGTGCTTTGGTGCACAAAGGAGAAAAGTGTTGATGAGGTAGATCACATGTGGTTCTTGGCATAAAATTTCATGGTTGACTGGTTTTATGGTCTTAAATCCAATCATCAGAGGCAAACTTAAATAATTGTTGGTTTGTTGATCTAAAAGAATTCATTGATTGAATGTTTCTTGAGCTCAGGTCTAGTTGGCGAAAATCTCCATTAAAAAGTAAGAGAAATCCAGAGTCAGAGTTCCCTAAACTCAAGAGAAAAGAAAGTTTAGATTCACTTTTGAAGCAAAAACTATTGTTGAGAAAAATGAGAAATAACAAAATGAGTTAGACAAAATGTGAATCATAAAAAAATAAGTCTCAAAAGTTCTAAATTTAGAATTCCAACTTAAAAACTAAAATTTGAGTTGTTTTTTTTAAATATTTTCTTATTTTTTAGAACAAATGGACATAGTCACCTCACCTAAAGAAATGGATCCGCAAATAACAACATGGATCGGTGCATCAATACTCTGTGGGTTAGAATCAGCCCAAGAACTTTGGATTCATCCTCAGGAGTGGGAGAAAAGTAGTGTGAAGATCCTACGGGAAAGAGCTCCATTCATGTGGTGAAATCGGATAGTTTCATGTATGTACTTTTGTAAATTTTTATACCAATAAATTATACTAATTTATAGTTTGCAGTTGAAACAACATCCAAGATACCCCTAGGTGCGAATTTGTCAGTTATTTTCTCTACGGTTTATAGGAAAGTGAGTTAGAAGATGAATAATCTTAAAACGTTGTTCATACTCTATCAATTTTTGTTAAATTGTTGAATACATTTTATAATAAATTCTCTCTATGCCTATACTTAACTTTTATGTATTTTTCCAATTAAAATAAATATGTTTCTAGGGCTGTTAGCACCCAATTTACATTCATGGGGTTTATCCATATTTTTTGTATATATATAATTCATATTTTTAAGATCTCATAGACCTACCCAAGTCATGTGCCATAAATACTAGATCAATATAAAATTAATTTAATACTCAAGTCTTTTCCTAATACAAGATAGATTCTGTCCTATTTCCACATGGGAATTGCGAAATATGAGGTTAGGTAAATATGAAATACACACAATGATGTATTATTGTTTACATTAATTATCTTTATCATCATATTGTTCAGTCATCTCAGGTAGTTTTCCAGTCTTAATCATCTTTTTAAAATAATCGGCGGAAATTCTTTTCTGCCTCGGTCTGTCAGGGTCGGTAAAGTTGACTTCGAAAAGACCAAATCGCTCTCTGAAAAGACAGAAAATGATTTATTTATATCCAATGTACTAATTCTTTTCTATGAGTGCAAATAAGTTTATAAAATTATTCAAAATACAATATTTTTTAATTTCTTCGGGTATTTCTTCACTTTTTCAGGAATCAGTCTGTTTTCTCTTTTTATTGGTCCTTATGCTATTCTGGTTTGTGATTTCAAAATCAAAATAAAAAATCTTTATTGCCTTATTTTACACGATTACATGCATGACATCGTCGACAATACATAGTATAATTTACTTGTACATAATTCTATCGTCTGAAGGCTGGTAAGATAGTCAGTGCATATGATGTAAATGATTTTGTAGTATCAAATTTTAAAAGAGATTATTTCATATCCTAAAGCATTTTGTTTGAAAAATGAACAACTTTGTTTACTCACGTGTATCCGTTGCCCCACTCAAAGTTGTCAAGGATACTCCAAGCAGTATAGCCGATGACGTTGCAATCGTCCTCATGAATGGCTAGGAGCATTTGGTATAGGTAGTCCTGAAATAAATGTATAAATATTTGATTGTTTGAGAATGTTGTTCAATTTTAAATTCATGTTCTTTGTCATTTTATCAAGTTAAGTTATAGATTTAACATGTGCCCCCTTATAGTTTATTCCTTGTGATTCTCTAAAGATAATGTAAGGTATATTTATGTTTCTGAATTATGCAGAGTAAGTTCAATGTTTGCTAGGCCATATATTTTATTTTTATTTTATTTAGCTTCAAAACTATTTTAGCGGAAAAAAAATTAAAGCAAAGTCTAGATTTTTAATTACAAACCCATTTCATTTAAGTTTATATCAGAATATCATACAAAATTTAAAATATTATAAAGTTCATAATTCCTTTTTCAGTTTAACACGTTTGCTGGGTTCATTGAAGTTGCAAAATGATGCCCGCAACGTGGGGCCTGAATTAGTTATTTCATTGCATTGGTTTATGTTAGATTGAGGGTCTAGAAGGGACAAGTTTCATTGTGTTACCTCGATCTTCACTGTTTATTAGATTTGATATAATTTATTTGGAGTCTTAGTGTCTGTGAACCTCCTTTGTACTGTTACTCAACTCAATTTTGTTGATCAATATGAATTGCTACCATTTAAGAAAATCTGAAGTGGCCTATGAATTGAAAATCAGGGGACAACCCGCAACGGGAACAGCGGATGAGCTAAGGAAACGGCTCAACCAATGCTTAATGACCAATACAGCTATTGTTGAGAAGGTTATGAATAATATGGATGTAGTTAAGGAATTGACTGAATGTGAGGTAACAATTGCTGATATCGAGAAAATGGTGGATAATTATGAGCGAAATGGCAAGGACAATGAGTACAACCGACTCCTGGCAAGGCTAAACCACTTGGATAAGCGTATTGAGAGAATCCCGATATTGCTATTGCAGGACGATGAATCACAAAAAACCAAAGATGCCCTACTCAAGAGGACTAGAGATGCTGTTAACGCCCTGTCAAAAGAACGCCAAGAAGATGTACCAAAGGGAGATAGGAAGGTGATAGAAGATAACGGCCAACACCAAGAAGACCTCAGCATTCTAGAAACCAAGGGAGCAATCGCGCCTACAGTAGTACCACAGCAGTTTGTGAGGCTGCAAAATGGCCCAAGTTCATTCGTTTTTAAAACGTTCCCTGGCATCGTGTGATAGCCGGCAGCTGCCTGGATGAGTGTACAAAAATGTTTAAATTTAGTTTCATCCAATAGGAGAGGCATATTATAACATGTACTTCGTCGTTGTGGGTGTAGTTTTACGAGAACCCAACAGATAGCAGCACTAAAAATCAGGCTCTCAGTAATGCCAAATGGAGGGAAAAAGCAGGGACAAAAATCCGGATACACCAACAAAAAATAAAATATTGCAGAAAGGCATCAAGCACAATTAATTGTGAGGTTAGGTTCCTTCTACAATTCTAAACTCACATGGAAATACTGTATTCTCTCTTGATCGTCAATGCCACCATCAGTACTGTAGCCATTCTCCGTAATAAACACAGGCACATTGTTGTACTGGTCTTTGATGTAGTTAAGAACACCTCGAAGACCATAAGGCACAACCTGTTAAAAAATTTGTCAACATTATATAGAAATTGAGGTTAAAATGAATTTTCTTAGTTTTTTTATCAATTCAGTTCTACCATGTATTCTTATTTAGATGCAGATGTAGCATCTTCAGGAATATATTATGATAATTTATTTCTTCACAGTTACAATTAACGATAACGGGAAATTATGATAACATTTCTCAGTTAAAAAGATAAAGATAGGCTTAAAAGAGAACATCAGTTTCAGTTATAAAATGGTCAACTATTGATTGTCCTTGAAATTTTGTGGGCTTCAGGGTAGTGTACTTTTTGTAAGTTCTGTGTATGTGGGCCTACCACATGTTTACATTATCCCTCAAAGTCTCTCTAAAATAGGGCTTTTCATCATTTGTTTAGTTGCTGCTCCTGATTATTGTCCTACAAGAAAATGTTCACATCTTAAATAGCATTTTGTACTGCTCTTAACTTCTAAGTACTTATTTAAATACAATTACGAAATGGTCAACAATGGAATACACTTTTAAACAGTCTACATGTAATTTAATGACATTCGTCTTAGTATCTAGCAAATTTTTACCATCATTCCAAAATTGCTAAACATTTGAAGGACTGTCTACTAGTTGCTGTTCTGACCCTACTTCCTTACCTGTTCAAATTAATTTTTATCGTCTTTAATTATATTTAACATTCTATAATATAAACAATTAAAAATATACCTTCAACCAGGCAGACCTTGCTGTTGGCCAGTTAGGATCGTATCCGAGGACAGCCCCGGTGTCCCGCATGAAGGATGGGTTAGCACCTTCCTCCGCAGCTGATACGAGGCTGGACGTGTAGTGGTTGAGGCCGAAGAAGTCATAACTACCTTTGTTCAACAAACATAAGAAAGGTTAAAGATTTCATAATTATAAACTCTTTGAATTCTGGAAGTTAACATTACTTATTTATTACTCCTATGGAAGTAGGAAATTGGTCACCAACATATTGCCTCAAACTTCCTTAGTTCTCAGCTTCAATTGGTTCTTGACCTCTACTTCCTAACATCAAGATTGCTCAGGTCTGATGCTTCAAAGTTTGGGTAATCCTTCTTGTTCCCTTTCTACAAGATTTCCCAATCGATCAGTTTTGCTTCTATACAAATGACCCAACCAATGTATTCTAATACTTTTAATTATCCTTGCAACATCTTATTTGTATACTTCTGGAAACTTTCTTTTCTTCCCTATCTTCAAAGCGCTATTACCAGACTGGCACATATATTTTTTATTAAAAAAACCTCATTGAATTACAATATCTCTTGGGATGTCAAGGAGATTACTCTGAGACTTTTTTCTGAGCAAAAACTTGAGGTATGCTAAGCTTCAAACCACCAAGTCAACAGCATTATCAGATTGATAATTACTATTAATAATTTGTTGGATCAAACCTATGTCTCAAGAAAAGAGATCTCTCACACAAATCTTTTTTGGACATGAAAACATTTGATAAGTTACAAATACAATCTTTCTATTGTAGTTTACAGTCGGGCATATCATCAATTCAAATTTTGCTAAATACACCACAAACTGTACCTCTGATCTGTTTAATTTCCTCAGTTGTAAACCTAGGAAGCCGTGAAGTAGCTCGTCCTTCCTTTGAACTGTGCGAGTCGACACGCTCCTTGACAAGCCTCGGATAGTCACCTCTCCTGGAGAATATCGGATGTGCAAATACTCCAATCTAGAAATAACAAATTTGAAAATACGGTTAAACAAATTTAAACAATCCTAAAGTATTCTGTATATTATTTTTTACAAAATGTAATAATCACGTTTTGAAACATGACAACAAATTTCACAAAGTTTGTGTGATATCAAAGTTCAAAAACTCTTTTAGTCAAAAGTACTCTATTTCACTCCTAACAAAGTTTCCGCTGATGTGGATAAAAATACTGTATAGGTTGGTAAAAAAACTTAAGTCAGGATTTTTACACTAAACAAAATTGTTTTAAAGGAGAAATTGATGTTACTGTTGATTTTAATGAATTTTATTTTTTCTAATAAGTTTTCCATCTAATAAGCTAGTTTTCTCTAATAAACTTAAAACCAACTTGAATGACTAATGGCTGGAACTAATTGAGTAAATTAGTGCCAATCTGATGTTAAATACATAAAAAAGTAAATGTAATTGGTTTTATAGGAATTAACCTGAATTAAGGTGATCACATGTCTAAATACAGTAGAGTCCCGCAAACTCAGCGTAATGTGGACTGGAAGGGTGCCGAGTTTGCGAAATGCCGGGTTATCGGGAACTAGGGTTAAAAATAAGAACGATACAATTTTTAAGCTAATTAACTATATCTTCTATTTATATTTATATTTCAAGTTAGTATTAAGTCATCAGATAAAGTACAACAAATCATTTGTACGAGCTGAGAATGATTGGACTTGAGCTGACTTGAGTCCATGTTTAACTCGGACTCAAAAAATCACTAATTTTCTGAGCCAGGTGATGGCCAAGTTATCCAGACTGCCGGGTTATCGAGTGCCGAGTTTGCGGGACTATACTGTACAATGCTCTCCTAAATTTAAGTCAAATATTTGGATTACATAACAAGTTTTTGGGGACGTTGGTTTAACTGGAAAAACCGTTATCCGGACTGGCCTCGGCCTAGAGGAGTCCGGATAAAAGGGAGTCTACTGCAATATCATACGAGATAGTTATTTCTTAATATCTCTAGCCCAAACACCCTGTATAGTAAACCTGCCAAATCTAGAAGAAATGCTATTAGCTAGTTTCCTAAACCAGTGTCCATCGTAATTCCTTACCAGCTTTTTTAATGCTTAAATAGCCTTCAAAAACTTCAAAAAAATAGTTTAAAAAAAGGAAATCATCAGGATTGACACTCGTGTTGATTATCAGACTTTTAAGTCTATAATGCTAAGAAAATAGTTTTTAAATCATGTTAATACCGTTAGGCCTACCTCAAACTCACTTGCTCTAATTGTTGCCATTCTGTCTTCCCAAGTGACTGAATGAGGTTCGTAGTACCTGCAGTCTAATGTGATAGAAATTTTGCCTGTAAACATGGTAAGAAAGTAAAAATATAATTTGAAAGGTTTATAAAATATTTTACTTTTACAAAACCAGGATTTCACGTTAAGCTTATTAATTGATTTTTCCTTAGGAAGGAGATATTCTCCTTACGAGTAAAAAATTTCCACCATAAAACAGATTTATACCTTACTATTATATTATAACTATGATAGCCCTTTTCCATCTAAAAGCTGTTTGTGGCCAGTTTTGGTAGTTGAGTTGATCCACCAACAAATGTGTTTTTACAAATTTTTAAAAAAAAACAATACATTCTCCATTATGTATACTGTATAGGGAGAAAAGTTTAAAGGAGAATAGCTGTTTGTGTATTAAGAGAGCAAAGTAGGCCTACATCATTGCTGCTAAAGAACTGTTGATGGCCGCATGAAGCTTTAGGAGTACAGCCATACATTTTGAGAGCGGCAATAACTGTTTGTGCTCGTAATACACATAAGATTCTTCATACCACCACAATTAAATGATCATAACACACAGATTAACTCTTGAGTTGAATATAAAATGTCCTTCAGATCATGTTTGTTTTTTAGGTTATGCTATTTGCTTACTGGGTTTTAGTGTTTTAAAGAAACGCCAACAGTGAAATCAGCTAATTTAATGACCAAGAATTCAATAAAAAGGAATAAGGCTATTTGTGTACTGTTAACAGGGGTGGTAATAGGCAATGTAATCATGTCCATGCAGTGGTAAGAAAAATATAATTTTGAGTTTTGATAGTAGCAGACTCTGACCACTATTTGAATAAAAAAAATTGCTACTGCTGTTTGATGGATGAGTTGTCTACGTTTGTATTAAAAAGTCAATATGATAATAAATGTTCCTACTTCCTACCGTTTTGTGATCTCCTGAACTCCTTGTCGTAAAGTCTGTAAGCTTTAGCATGAGCTCGTAAGAGAGTGTGAGCTGCTAGATAGTCTCCGATTCCTGCCTGGAAGATCATCGGAGCCAGGAAATTGATGTCAGTTTTTGCTGGACCGTACCCTCGAATTATGTTCCTAGGCTCGTTAATGGTTATCCACCATTTCACCTGGAATTTCAATTGGTTAGGAATTTTGTGAAGGTGTTTTGTGTGTTATGTAATGTAATAGAGCTGTTTGTTTTCCCATCAAGCTATAACTACCAGTCAATTAGCTGAAACTTTACACAAAGATTCTAGGCCTACTACTGTACCAAAAATTACTATAGGCCTATTTTCCCGTTTAGACCTTGGACTCTGCTCCTTGGACTTTCTGAGGTGAAGCTTTTGGCAAGCAAGCAAGATTGATATCGACAAAGACAAAAATATTGACATTTTCTGTGTTCGCATTTAAAAAAAAATTCTATCAATTTTATATTTTAACAGCAGATTCAAAATAAAAATACACATTTTGTAAAAGTAAGTAGTATATTTTTACTTTGGAGATACAATTGATTTCAATAAAGTTTTTCAAATCTGCTCATACACTGTAGTATGTTGTGAAACCAATATCAAAACACAACCAGAAGCTCACCAAACAATCTGAGGTTTGAACAGAAAAATTGTATTGAAGTAATATTTTTGTTTTTTACTTACCTTAGGGCCGAGCTCTCTAAATATTACTCTGGAGTAATCTTCAAAATAATCAGCCATGAGAGGGTTAGTCCAGCCTCCAAGATCTTGGAGGGGTTGAGGAAGGTCCCAGTGGTATAGGGTAACCTGTGCATTTTTGAAGATTATAACATATAGGCCTAGGGATATAGTCATTACATGTATATATATTATTAATATACAGGGTGAATAAAAAGTCAAGACCCCCCCTCTCTAATATTTTTCCAAGTAAATATACAGAGATATCCTTTTGGTGATCGAGCAATCTTAGCAGGAAGTTTCATTTTATCATTTTAAAATTTTTGAGTGTCCCCCCAAAAGGGGGGATTTGGGGGGCAACTCAAATATTTTAAATGTAAACCCCCTTCAAGTGACACCTCATTTTGAAGTGTTTACAAAAACTTAAAGAATGGTGAAAACTAGAGGTCACTATCTCTTCTCTATCCAAAATGGTAGCCCGTCAAATGTTGTGAAAAATCAATGGACAAATTGTTAATATTGGCTGCCATTTTGGATAGAGAAGAGATATCGAGCTCTAGTTTTCACCATTCTTTAAGTTTTTTTTAAACACTTCAAAATGAGGTGTCACTTGATAGGAGTTGTCCCCCGAATCCCCCCTTTTGGGGGACACTCAAATTTTTGTAATGTAAACCCCCTTCAAGTGACACATAATTTTGAAGTGTTTACAAAAACTTAAAGAATGGTGAAAACCAGAGCTCGCTATCTCTTCTCTATCCAAAATGGCAGCCAAAATTAACAATTTTACCGTTGATTTTCCACAACATTTGACGGGCTACCATTTTGGATAGAGAAGAGATAGCGACCTATAGTTTTCACCATTCTTTAAGTTTTTGTAAACACTTCAAAATGAGGTGTCACTTGAAGGGGGTTTACATTTAAAATAGGCTATTTGAGTTCCCCCCAAATCCCCCCTTTTGGGGGGACACTCAAAAATTTCAAAATGATAAAATGAAACTTTTTGCTAAGATTGCTCAACTACCAAAAGGATATCTCTGTATATTTACTTGGAAAAATAATAGAGGGGGGGGGGGGGTCTTTACTTTTTATTCACCCTGTATAGCAAAATTATAGGCCAAACTTTTGGGCTGAAACCTTAGAATTCACAGGAAAGTGAATGGAGCCAAATTTAAGTTGGAGAAAGGGCTATCAAGAGTACAAAAGTGTGGTTTATAGAGTTAGGAATACATCAAAAGATAGTTTAAATGCAGATTAAGCCATGCATAAAGATGGGTTGTACTTGTAGATGTTAGAAGGAAGGATTCTCTCAGAAATGGAATCTTTAGCAATTGAGGAAAGAAGACCAATTGAAGACATTATGAAGGTGGATGTTAGAAGAAAGGCTTACCTGAAGAATGGAGTTGGCGATAAGAGGAAAGACGACCAAGTGGAAGACATTATGAAGGTGGATGTTAGAATAAAGGCTTACCTGAAGAATGGAGTTGGCGATAAGAGGAAAGAAGACCAAGTGGAAGACATTATGAAGGTGGATGTTAGAATAAAGGCTTACCTGAAGAATGGAGTTGGCGATAAGAGGAAAGAAGACCAAGTGGAAGACATTATGAAGGTGGATGTTAGAATAAAGGCTTACCTGAAGAATGGAGTTGGCGATAGAGGAAAGAAGACCAAGTGAAGACGTAGAAAAAGGTGGATGGATGAGGTGCAGAGGAATTTGGAGAAGAGAGGAAAAATAATTATGGGGATAGAGAAGACGGAAAGGCCTAGTCGACAAATAGACAAGGGAGTAACTCAAAGGAGATATGTGATAAGCACACTTCTGTTAGCTCAATACTGATTAAACCTAACTGCAGAGGAAGGATAAAAGAACACTTTCAATGGTGAAATCGGTTTTGTAACCAACACACATTGTGTCTGCTCATGGAGAGAGTACCATCGAAACTACCCCTTCCATCTTCCTCATCCATAAAAACAGTATTAATAGCTATCTACCATCTACCGACTATTCTAACTATGACAAAATCTAATCTTAACTTATATTGTTCAGTTTCCTAGCTAACGGTTTTCCCTAATAGTCAAGATTAATAAGCTCACTAACCATTGGCTCTATACCGTTTGCAAGTAGTTCGTCAATAAGGTTGTGGTAGTAGTCAAGCCCAGCTTGGTTGATGTAGTCATCATGGCCGTTGGGCAGAACTCTACTCCAGGAAATGGAGAAACGGTAGTGATTGAACTGTTGAGAAAAAGATTAATCATTCAGTGACTGCTTTAGTACCTATGTTATTTGAAAGTTAACACATTAGAACAGTATTATTTACAGTAGTATTTATCATGGTATTTGAGTATTAAAAAATATTACAAAATAATGTTTACTATCATAGTTGTTGTATGGTAACAATAATTGTATTCTAGATGATTCCAACGTTTTAATTAAAGAATCAAGTACCGTAGGCCTAAAAGATGTGATTTTTCACCAAGCAAATTTAATGTGCAAAAATGATTCTGTTCTGATTAGGAAAAAGCTGGACCATTTAAGGTAGTGAATTAGAGTTACCATTTGAGAATTCGATACATCTCAAATTCCTGCAAAAAATTAACAGTTATGACTAACAAAAATAATAACAATTAATAAATTGCAGCCCAGGAGCAATGGCCTTTTTCATGAGCAGGAGAATCTTTAATGAATACAATTATTACACGTATTGCAATTATAAGGATATTTTTATTTAATTTTTTTTAAGAGGCTGACGGCCTCTTTTAACCTTGCATTTGCCCGTCCACATAGACTAAGCGCCCGTGCGTGGATCGTTTACAGCAAAGCAAGGAGTGAGCCGGTACAGTACAAAGGTGAACTGTACTGATAAAATGTTATCGGCAGTGACCAGGATCCGAACCCACGACATCGCTGCCTTAGGCCCGAAGTCCGCGACGCTACCAACTGAGCCACCGACTCACTTTGCTATTATATTGCTATCTGGCACAAATTTACCAAAGGAAAGCTCATCACAATGTCCTCTGTATTGGGTCAATTTAAAACAAAAGTTATTTATTTGAAGTTTGACATGTCCATGTCTGTCCAAAAGGGCCAGCTTATCTAATCTGTAGTCTCTAGTTTTACAAACACTAACTGACCCCGACTTGTTTGATAAGCTGCACATCCTCCTTGTATTTGTGGTACGAGTCACACGCAATGTCTCCAGTGTCGTTGTTCTTAACAATACTCGGTGACATGTGGACCAGACGATCCCAGATGTTTTCTCCTTTACCTTGAAAAGAACACAAGAGATTGCTTAGAAATTAATAATATAAAATAGTGAAGAAATTGTTTAATTTCTTTTTTAAACAGATAATACTATTTGATCCCTCATCTAACTTGAAGTTTGAAATCACTTCAGGTTGCATGAAAGTAAAAAATAGAAGTAGAGCAAAGAATGTGAATCATATCTAATATAAATTCTCCAGTACGGTATCTTAAATTTATATAAGGTTGTCCAGGAATTTAAAACTAAAAATAGCGGAGAAATCATGTAATTTATTGTCAACCAGAACAGTGGTGGTTCTAGGACCTTGGCAAGGGAGGTGTTCCACTCCAGGAGCGGGTCTAAACATTTTCAAAGCAGTTTGGTGTCTTTTAAAGCCATTTTAACGTCTAGAACTATGTCCAAAAACCTCAGTTACATTTTTATGGCAAAATGTATGTTTAAATTATATTTCCAGGGTCCAATGGGGGGAGGCTTTAGCCCCTATAGCACCCTCTCGTTGGAACTGCCACTAAACCTGAACAATTCAACATATTCCTCATTTACCTAAAACATACCGCAGCTTATCAAAATCAAAAATAGAACAGAGCTGGGAAATTATAAAAGTTATTTTGTATTTAAAAAAGAATCAGGTTTCTTATGAGTTGATAAATAATCATGTATCAACGCTATGTTAGTTTCTTTTATTACCATATAAATTTATTGACATTGTTTCAAATTCCAATACAACGATTATTTTGTCCCATAAATTTATTAAGGACTTTTCAACATTTTAGTGAAAAAACTTAGTAAAAACATATTTTTTCTTTTAATAACTTTTCAGAACAATTGTGTGAGGATATTCTAAGGTAAATTACATATTATCAATAACAATATCTAACCATCAGCATCCCAAGCTCCTTCAATCTGGTAAGAAGAAGAAGCACAGCCGATATAGAAGCCAGGTGGGAAGACATTCTCTTGGTCCGGAGACAATCTTTGATGTGGCCAAGTTGGTTTGTTAGAAGCCTGCAACGTTTGTTATCAAATTTATAAACAATCAATTCTTTGGGACAGTGACACACACTTGGGTGTGTATTTTAAGCTGAGTATGAATAAACTGAGTGCAGAATGGAGTGAGATGATCTGTGTGGCTTTATTACTGACTAATATCGGCTGTTTCATTAGTCAGGATCACTGAGCTTAAAATACAAAACTGGAGATAGCACTGGCGCACGGCAACTGTGCTAGAAAACCGACTTTCTGTAAAATGTTGTTATGTTGGTACCAACTAAAAGAATCAACCAGCTCACTGACTCACTGGCTTTATCACAATCTCCTATTCAGCCCATAGTTCTAATCTTCTAAGTACAATGACAAAATGTACTATGCCCCCAGTACATCGGTCAACGTCTCAATTCTCTCATCCAGTGCTACCTCTTCTATCTCTAGCTCAGTGGTCAGGATAATTTATTAAAAGCACATTGATCAAGGACAGGTAGAAACTGTTTTGAACTGTCAAAAAGCTACAGATTTTCCTCAGGTTACAAGCAAAATAAAATTTTATTACCGGTTTTATTGTTGTTAGCTATAGTAGTATTTGATTTGGTAGTTGGGATTGGTATTCATTTATGTTCTTGCATTTCATGGTTTTCATTACTAATTTTCTTGTCTAACTCAGTTAGTAACAAATTATCAATATTAATTAGGTTAAGAAAGTATTTAAGTAAATGAGTCGTTTTGGGATAAGATGGTGATTATGTGTGAGGCAGAACTAACTTTGAAAAACACTGTAAAGCATGCAAATGGGTGTTTTGTTATGAGTACCTAGTGATAAATGATTTTCATTATAGTATGATGATAGTAAACACACCCAGCAACTAAGGGACCTACAGTTTAGTGGATTCCGAACCACATTTTTGTCTTGGTATATACGAATTGGTCTAATTATCTGGATAGTACTGCGGATAGTGGTAGTACTCACTCGTGCGGACAGGGAATAAACTATTACCTTTGTCTCATGGTAAGACCTAAACCCAGAACCGATTTACTTTTTTGTTTTGATGTCCCCTGAGACCAAAAACACTATCCGTTCAAATTCATATATTTTCATATAAAGTCTGTTAGATTTGTAATTCTCTGACCTGCATCGGACATTTTTTCGTAAATTTTACTGCTGTAAGCCAGTGAAGTTAAATAGCACTTTTACAGTACTGATTTTATATTGGGCTGCCTTATCGTCTTGAACTTTCCAAATTTGAACTGTGTATTTTGGTAATACAGTAGAACCTCGATAATTCAAAAACCTCCATAACTAGTAGTGTTTGTTCCCGTCAGAAAGCCTCTAAAATTTGAAAAATAATATACCGATAATTCAAAGTGATTTTGGCTCTTAATGCAGCCTCTACAATTCGAATTTGCACATAGGTACTGGAGCGTCTACAATTCAAATTCTGTTGCCATAATTCAAACTGTTGTCTCCAAAATTTGAAGTCAACCTCTAAAACTCGAACTGTTTACCAAAAGCCTCTGTAATTCGAAATCAGCACAAAAAATATGCCTGTTGAAACATATACTGACGCTTCAATGTGTTTCCACAATGTGTTCATAAGTCTTTGTTTGTTTTCTTTGCAAAGTTGACATCTTTAATGGTCAGTCAGCAAGAGTGAAGTGAGCAAGAATAGATGTATTTAAATTTGTAACTTTGCGAGAAAAACTTAATAATAATTAATGAAGGGAAAATTGGTGAATAACGTAAAAAAGGTATAGCTGAAGAGTATAGTATCCCAATACAATTCTAAAAAAGGAGTTAGTCAGGCAATGAATGGGGGGTAATTCAAACAATACGAGAAATCCAAATTTCCTTAAGTGGAGAAACGCTTGATAAAATGGTTCAAACAATGTAGGGACCATAACGTAAGTGTACGGAGGCCAATCCTCAAAGAAAAAGCTGAAGATTTTGTCATATTATTAGGTCATGTTAATTTTAGAGCAAGTAATGGTTAGTTGGAGAAAAGAAATTACATTTTGTTTTTCGTATTTTGTGTAAGAGATTTGTTTGAAGTACATTATTCTGTTTAGCTTTTAAAAAATAAACCTGGACCTCTATAGTTATAGCTTTATTTATTTTGACCTCTATAATTCAAACTCCCTATTCTTAAAACTGGGACCTCCATAATTCACATTTTATTTAATCTGACCTCTATAGTTCAAACTCTCTATATTTCAAACTTCCCATTTAGTTCTAAATATAATGTCTTTCCTCTGAAATTAGAATTAACGAGGTTACACAGTAATTAGCAATTAGCTTATTTATTTCTGATGTCGAGATACAGTTAGAATTTTTATATTTTTAGAATTAATTATTTGGTTGACACATCCTATCATTTAATTCTTTCTAACCCTATTTTATAACATTGAACATCAATACTTACCCGCCAAAATGCATACCCAAAGCAGAACAATCCAAATGTAAAACAAGCTAGTAAGTACAACACAAAAGGCCACATTTTCAAGTAACTCGGCTTTTTAGAAGTGTCCATATCCTGGTAGCCATGATGATTATTGTTGATTCCGTCCAGTGAAATCATTCTGAAATGCATTTCCTAACTGACAGAAGCAAGTACCTATCAACACTGACCCTTGGGTCTTTAGAGTAGATAAGACTTCAAAATTGACATACAAACAGAGTAAAGACAAGGATTGTGTTTTCTTAACTTTGTTTATGTAAACCTGAAATCTTTCCCATTCAGGAAAAACACTTAGAGACACGACTTATTATTGATTAATAGTATTGAGTAAATTCAACAATGTTATGAATGGTTCTATTTGATAATAATTATAGTAGGTACTCAATCCAAACAACACCATTATCTGGCTAAGACATTATTTTAGTATCTAGTACAAAAAGAGATGCTAACAAGTAAAAAAATTTTACATTGTACAATTAATGAAAATAATGATTAATTATTCATCAATTATTCATCCTCAAAAAAATATTATAAGTTGAAAAGAATCTATAATCACAATAATTATTAAATTTGGTTCCAATCCTAAACTTATACTGTTGACACACAGAATATATATTTTTTATTTACAATACATTGGTAAAACGCATTGGGAGTTAAAATAAAAATAAAATAATAACATTCAGTCCAACCAAGGAAACAATGTCTTTGACAGGGTTGTTACGGTCAGGGAAAACCTGGAAAAGTCAGGGAATTTGGTTGGTCTGGGAATTATGAAAAATTCTGGAATTTCTCCTGAAAGACTACTTTTTTACAGATATGGTACATTCTGCACCTAAACATGTTTTTACCAGGGTGATGACTAATGGCAAAAAGAACGACATAAACACTGACACACTGATGCACATTTTTATATCGGTACGGGGGAGGAATCGATATGTACATAGTTTGAAACAAGTTTTGTATTCGAGAGTGATTAAATAAGTTAAATATTTACATTTTAAAAATATTTCTTGATTTTGATTGGTCAATATCGACTTGCGGTATACCTGAAAAAAGTATAATATCAGTATGGAAAATCTGAAAATGTCAGGGAATTTTGTTTCCCAAATTTAGTACCAACCCTGTTTGAGCAGTATATAGCATATTTTTTACAAAAAAAAAATATATATTTATCCAAACTATATATACAAACATATTTTAAAACTCCTACATATTTTTCTTGTTCAAAACCAGTATAAACTACATTTGAATTTTTCAGGTGTTATAGTTTACTGTGCTTTTCAATGAACAAAATTTTAATAGGTTAGAAAAAACTATATTTTTATTTAAAAATTACCAGATATAAAACTTAATTCAAGTACAAGACACTTTATTCAATCTTGGAAGTTGGATAAGTGTTTTATTGATTGTTTAAGAGTTGTGATGGATGGGAGTGTTTATACAAACATAGATTCTATAATCAGACAACCTGTGCCCAATCCTGTCCTATTTCAGAAGTGAAAGTGGCTGTGAAGACTTTCATACTACTGTAGTGCGTGTGTAATTGTGTCTAGTAAACTGTAAGCTAGACTTTGATGCTGGTAAACGAGTTTGAATGTTGAAGATTAGGTAAACTAAGTGTAATCTTGAGTAAGTATTTGAGAATAACCTTTACACTTTAGAAATAACTTAAATTCCCTGTCGTGAGATAAAATCACAAATTGAAATTGTTGGCACAAAATACCATGTAGCGACAAATATAATCACATTTGTAATTTACAATAATTTGTATAAACTCTTACAATTTAATTTCTTATTTTAATTGTGGTTCAAATCAAATCGGCAATTACTGTAGTCTTCAACAAATATACTTAGTGAATCTGTATCTGTAGTGTACTGTATCTTATCATATAAAACTCTGTTAATGTTATTGTGTGAATTTTGTTTTTGAATGTGTGTGTTTTATGATATTAAATGTTCCATAGAAAGGCCATAAAGTAGTTACATATTTGTATGATAAGGGGAATTGATTAAGCTAATGACATTTTGTTGAATATATCAAAATTTTCGTTTGGATTAGTATTTACATTTAATGAATATATGACTCTTTCAATAAAGTTAAATAAGTGTAACTTTTATAATCTGTGCATTGACTATTGGATACTAGAAGGTAATATGCATTATACCGGTGTGAAGACTGGTTGGTTCTGTTTTCCAAGTTAAAGAAATTAAGTTTAATCGGATGTTATAAAATAAAAGTAGATTTACTACTTTGGCCTGTACATTTATTAAAAAAATTGCTACCACACAAACATTGTAGTAAGTAAATCGGTTTTGCAATACAATTAACTATAAAAACCAACTTACTCAATTAGAGTGCAATTAACATAATTCGCCGACAGGCATAGACTACAGATTATTTAAAAATTTGTTCTAAATTTAAAACATTCAGGACAACATAAAATCGAACTATAAAATTCACTGCTACTCGGGACACTTCTGTGACGGAAGTTAGAAAAGATGCAGGCATCAATTACCATTACTCCCATTAAACAGCTGATCACAACAGAGGTAATAGTTTTGTCAGCTGAGCAGTCACTTCAATGCCTCTATTCTGTACTGCATTGTCATAGTGCAATACGCTGAATTTTATTTCAGGATTAGTTTTGCCAAAAGTGTCCCACCCGTGGCACTACATTTTTGTCTTGGATTTTTTCATTATCAATAAGTTTGGTTGGTTTGGTCTGGTTATGACAGTTTAATTTTATAATTAAAAATTATATAAAATCAAACTATATAAAATTGAATTTTAGGCATTTATAAGGTAATTCTGAGCGATTACTTGGTCAACCCCAATTTTTTTCATATTTTACTACGGTCATCAGGAGGTTCTCAGAAAGCAAGAAACATATAATTCAAGCCCCGCAAGGTTAAGTTAGGTTAGGTTAAGTTAGGTTATTAATTAACCTAACCTAACCTAACGTAACCTAACCTAACGGTACTGTTACAATTGGCCTTAGAGATGTATTTGAGACTAAAAAATATAATAAGTTAGGTTAGGTTAAGTTAGGTTATTTCAAGTTAGGTAACGTGTTTTCACACCCGTCACATAGAAAAGGATTGTCGGAGGAACCACTAGCCATAGCCATAACGGTACTGTCACAACTGGCCGTCCGCGCGTCTCCCGCAAGCCACTGTTATCGCTTGGACTTTGAACATTCTTATCGCTCGGCAACCTGTACGATGGCCTTGCGGGCCTTGAATTATATGTTTCTTGCTTTCTGAGAACATCCTGATGACCGTAGTAAAATATGAAAAAAAATTGGGGTTGACCAAGTAATTGCTCAGGATTACCATTTATAATTTTATTTTATGAACAAAAACTAATTGTTCAATTAGTGAACGTAAACCTTCATTATAGTCAATCAGAAGCCACCAAATGACACTGATGGCAAAACCTATCCTGAAATAAAAATTGTGCGCCAATAACAACCAGTAACCAAAGAAATGGACAATGGTCATTCACAGAGAACGTTGTAGTATCATGGGTAAAAACTCCCAGAATGCCTTTTTAGCAATGAGAAAAAACAATGAAATGTCACTCTCGAGTTCTGTCTGAGCTAGTGAGCTGAGTGGTTTTGTTTGTTGTTGTTCACTACTGTTAGTGTTAAGTTGTGTTATCTATGATGTGAAAAATTGTGATTGTTTTTTTACTTTACTAACATAACATAACTGGTAAAAACAAAAACTACCTACCTACCAAAGTTGGGTTGCTTAAAACGAGTGCGTTTCATTTAAATATTCTCTTTGTCACTAGGCATTTTATTTGTGGCTTAGACTATTCTTGAAAAAATGAAACGTTCTAAATATTATGTTCATATGTGTGTGTTTTAGTTATGGCATGTCATGAGAAATGGAACCTATTTAAGAAATTATGTTGTATGTGTTGCTTCAAGACCAAGACAAGTTCAAGTGCGCTTAGTGTTCAAAAAGGACACAAAGAGCACCAGTATTGTGGGTGTTCAGAATCAAATAAACGAAAAAAGTTGAGGATGCCAACACCTGATATTGACACAAGTTCTCTAGTTGACAATGAAGTGTTCGAGGCTCTTGAATATGAATACCATGCTGAAGATCCTGGAGATGTTCTAGATGAAGGAGCAGTAAGTATACCTACTTGAATGGGTAGGTAATTTGGTATATATTATCCGGAGGCCACTTATTTTACAGCATGCTGCAGCGGTTATGTTATTTTGGGTTAGGCCTATCATCATAAATATGTTTGTAGGACTTTCCTCGTTTTGTTATGAATCGAACGATACCAAACTTACTTAAATGAGTCATATCGTAGGTCTACTTACTTTCTATTCACCCACTGCTTTCTATTCATAACCGCCGCAGCACGTTGTATAAAGGTGACCTCCGTATAAGACCAAAGTAGGCCCTACCCTTAACTTAAATGGGCTGCACTTTACTTTAAGTTAGGTCCTTGTAGTGTACTGAATCAGCTGATACAATTTAAATGTGTTTTCAATACTTTGTTTACATTGTTGTTTGTTTACGTTTGACATAACAACAGAGTTACTTGGTGTTTCAAATATAACTTTTCTTACGAAAATGTCTTGTTACTTTACATAATTAACTCACAGTACTACAAATGGCGCAGTCTACTAAACGGACCGACGATTTACGTATAGATGCTTTTGATGGTCATTCTGAAGAATGGACTTACTGGCTCGAACGTTTCAAGATTGCATTACGAAACAGAGGAATCAAGAATGAGGATACAAAACGAGACTTGTTGCTAGGGAACCTTGGACCTCAACCCTTCAAGCTAGTATTTGACCACGCACGACCTGATCCCGTCAGTAATCTTCACTTTACAGGAGTTATTGATATACTTAAGAAATACTACACACAAAAATCCGCACCACTATCACAGCGGGTTATCTTTAGTCGCCGTTTCAGACATGAAGGTGAATCTGTTAGTCATTTCGAATTTGCTTTACGCGAAATTGCAGGTCTCTGTGACTTTAGTGACAACTTAGACGAACGGCTGAGAGATCAGTTTGTTCTGGGCATCAACAATGATCGCTGGCAACTTGAACTTTTGCGCTTACATGCTACGACAGATACTACATTTGAACAAGTCACAAACACCGCTACTTTATTGGAAAATGTTGACAATCAACAGTCACAATTCCGTAATACACGTTCAGTCAACAGAATAAGCAACAGGAACAAGAAGAATGCTTTCGAAACGATACCGTTGAAACAAGAAACAAAAGGAAACACTTCGAAACAAAACATCTTACATCTTAACAAGAGAACTGACTGCATTCGGTGTGGTTACAAGAAACATACACAAGGAACGAGCTGTCCCGCTGTCGATGCCACTTGCAACGCCTGTGGAGGACTGAATCATTTTGCACGCACTTGTCTTAAAGTGGGTAATGCAGTCATTATCAAAGGTAAGCGACTTAACATGTTAGAGGCAAAAAACTCGTCTTGTAACTCTAGTGTTAAATCTTTTTCTGATACAGATCAAATCCAAGCGATTAATAAAGGGTCGAAAGTAATGCTTTCAGTCAAGTTAAACAATCATACAATTTCAATGTTGTATGACCCAGGTGCAGCGTTCAGTATCATTAGCAGAAACATATGGCGAGATCTAGGAACTCCTAAACTATTTCCCACAGAAAATCTTAATGCATATACAGGAGTTCTAATTGAAACTATGGGTAAAACGTATGTTTCAGTTGAAGCTTTTGGTTCCAAACGTAAGTTACCGGTAATTGTTGTTAAGAAAAACGATATACCTTTGTTCGGCCTAGACTGGGTTCTTGATTTTAACTTACCACTGCCACCTGGGGCTCAAATATGTACATTGTCCAAACAGCAAACAGAACAAGTAAGTGAACAGATTGTTAATGACATTGTTAACGGTTTTCCAGAAGTTTTCAGTCCCTCTTTAGGTACGATTAAAAATCACAAGGTATCTTTTCACATCCGGCTTCAAATGCAGCTCCTGTAGTTTCAAAACCACGGCCAGTTCCTTTTGCTTTACGGGAACCTGTGGAAAATGAAATTCAACGATTAGTAGACAGTGGAGTTTTAGAACCAGTCGATGCCAGGAATGAACCTATCATTTGGGCTTCGCCCATAGTAATAGTGGTAAAACCGTCTGGAGCTATCCGCATATGCGCGGATTTCAAAAATACTATAAACAAACATATGCTCCCCGATAAATATCCTATGCCTACATTCGACGAGATCACCTCAAAACTTACAGGTGGCCAGGAATTCTCCGTCATAGATCTCAAAGATGCATATCTGCAGATGGAGGTCGAACCATCGGCACAACAGTACCTGATTATTTCTACTCACAAAGGATTTTTCAAGTACAAACGCTTACCCTTCGGAATCAAAATTGCCACCGGGGTTTTTCAATGCAAGATGGATCAAGTACTGGCAGGCTTACATGGAGTCGCTTGTCTCCTTGACGACGTCATAGTCACAGCCCCAACGAGAGAGGAACATATCGAACGTGTCAAAGAAGTGTTAAGACGTTTTCAAGAATCTGGAATTCGTGTCCAGACATCAAAATGTAAATGGTTTCAAGATTCCGTTAACTATTTGGGTCACAGAATTGATAGAGCTGGTATACATCCAACGACAGAACATCTGGAAGCAGTGAAAAACATGCAATCACCGAAAAATGTGAAAGAGTTAAGATCATTTCTTGGGTCGATCAATTACTACAGTAAATTTATTCCCCACTAGTGTACATGTTGCTCGAATTCGAGCAATTGCAAAGTATTACAGGAGTTATTTAAAAACTCCAAAAATGCTTTTTGTTACTTCATCTCAAACTTTCATATTGTAATTGTATCATCAGCATGTCAACCCTGTAAAAATAGTGTAACAGTAAATAAATAAAACGAATAACAGTCATATTTACAATGAGTTTAAAAGAGACAACTCAAAGATTACCGGTGTGAAACTCAGACCATGTTTATCCTCTTTGTTGATAAACCTAAACCATTCCGGCGTGTTTTCTCCTTCTCTAAATGCCTCGCTGTACAGGCAACACAGGTCATTGATAGAGGGCCAATTGAGAACTAAATGTCGTTTTGGGGTAGTGTTAGGGCGCATTTGTAACCTAATAGTTGAGATTGTCCAGGATCAGGTGCTGCCTGTGATGAGTTAAGCCTATTACGCGCCACTGTTCTGTAGCTGCGGTCGTTATCACGATTACGCCTCCTGTCTACGTTTTGTTGTCGTCGCATTGGAGGCATTTAAAAGAAAAAAACAACAAATAAACAAATTATAGCTACACAAAACCTTTTTTTAGTTAAATAAATGCACAAATTTAAGTTACAATCATGGTAACACGATCCGTCATAACGACACAAAACAACGATTAATAGGCTACACAAATTTAAGATACAACCATAGTAATACGATCCGTCTTGGGGGTTATGTTTACACAAACTCAAATAGTAAATAAATGTACTCAATGTGTTTCATTGAATTGAAAAATAAATAACAGCAATTAAATTATACAGCTGATCAAAATGTAAACAATTATATTCTTCATAAGGATAACATGGGAACTTTCAAAGCCACTGGGGCAGAGCCCAAGGGACTTTTTCAAAAATGTAAGGCCAGTTTGCAAATCTATGTGACACGCTCTTTCCAAAGAGACGTCAATGGATAAAATCGGTTAAGAAATGGCGGAGGAGTTCAACCGACAAAGTTTCATGTAGCGTATTAATTATATAGATTTACAGTCCTTGTGTGTTCCATTACACAAACTGCTAAAGAAAGGCGTGAAATGGCATTGGAACGAAAACCATGAACAGGTAGCAGCAAAATTGAGGCATCTTCTTACTACAACAGACACGTTGGCTCACTATGACGAATCCCTACCTCTCATCCTCGCAACTGATGCGAGTGATATTGGTGTTGGAGCTGCTCTTTTCCAAAAGTATCCTGATGGGACTGAAAAACCTTTAGCTTTTGCGTCAAGGCGCCTTGATCATGCTGAGTGCCGATACAGCGTGATAGAAAAGGAGGCGTTAGGTTTGGTTTTTGGAGTAACTCGTTTTGAACAGTACCTTTATGGTAGACATTTCGAAGTTCGAACGGACCATAAAGCATTGGTTAAAGTCTTCGGTGAACATGATTCAATTCCGAAGGTAGTTTCAAATCGAATCGCTAGATGGGCATTAACACTGAGTGCCTATGACTACTCGATCAACTATCAACAGGGCAAAGATAACAAAACAGCCGATCTATTATCAAGATTTCCCTTGCAAAATACGATAAAATCTACAGAGGAAGACCAGGGTGGCAGTAACAAAGCACACCTTTTCCATTTGCGTTCACAGGATCTACCAATATCGACAAAGTGTTTGCAAGAAGCGACAAAAACTGATCCAATACTTTCAAAAGTAGTAAACTATTTAAAAAGGGGTTGTTGGCCTTTGGAAAATAATGAAGACACTAACCTACAACCGTACTACAGCAAACGTGAAGAACTTTCCTTTGAGAATGGAATTCTACTTTGGTTTGGGAGATTGGTCATACCTGCGAAACTTAGATCAAGAGTGATGGAAATACTACATGAGGGACATCCAGGTATTGTAGCTATGAAAGGGAAGGCACGTTTTCAAGTCTGGTGGCCTAAACTGGACAAGGACTTGGAAGAACACACTAGACATTGCAATGGATGTCAAGAAAACAGAAGCAAAGATCCTGAAATGCCGTTATTCTCATGGCCTGTTCCTGGAGAAGTTTGGTCACGGATCCACATCGATTTTGCCGGACCCTTCATGGGGAAAATGTGGTTGATTGTAGTAGATGCTCGGTCAAAATGGCTTGAAGTATTCCCGATGTCGTCAACTTCAACAAAGTCAACGATCAAAGCTTTAGAAGAGTTATTTTCAAGATTTGGCTATCCAAGGGTAATTGTAAGCGATAATGGACCACAGCTAACATCCTACGAGTTTCAAACCTTTTGTAAGAGCCTAAACATTAAACATGCTCGAATCACCCCCTATCACCCAAAAAGCAATGGGTTAGCGGAACGATGTGTTCGTACATTCAAAGAACGCATGAATGCTTCAAAAGGAAATGCTGGGACTTTCCAAGAAAAACT